TATCAAAACCATCTGGCTAACTTGACCAATCGAGGCTTTGGATTTGCTGTTCCTATAGCTCCAGTAAGCTCCTCTCGACCAGTGCGCAGTGCGCTTGGACGAAAGCAGGGAGTGTAGTGTCAGCGGCATTTGCGGTGCCCGACAAGGGTGTATTTGGATAAATTAGTGAGACTTTATCCAAATAGCAATGCACTTGTTGTGATCATTAACCGAAATTTCTTGCAATAAGGGCAAATAAATGCATTATTCCCGTTCAAAATTAGAAGAATTTTTTAGAAGGTTACAAAGAATTCGTGAAAATTTGGAGTTGCGGCTGTCATAAAAATAAATAAATTTGTTTACAGAGAACTAGAAAAATGGTTGGCTCGTCAACTTCAATATAATTTTGAATCTAAATGGCATTAAGATATTGTTCAAGTGAATAATCATAAAACTCTTAGATATGAATATCAACATTTGCTTGTAAATTATTGCACAAAAGGCAATTGACATTTTCATCCCAAAAGCACCGTTTAGCACGATCTCATACATATTATATGTCGGATTATTGACAAAATTCTATCACAATTCACCGTGTTGCTACTTGCTGGTAAATCAATAGTTTCCTATTGCTACAGCAGACACTCTAAACTTGTGCGGAACTCTACTTACGACATCTCCGAGCAGACGTACAGTTACGTTACGTAGTTTCCCGCGCAAATGTTTTGATAATACCACCTCTAGAGTTACGTCATCATATCAGCACTTACGCCACTCGTAAGTCGATTTTGCGTAATCACGAAGTTTTGATAATACGGCCCCAGGTCAGTTATTCCATTAACCTATATTATAAACTGTACACTTTACAAAAGAGCTTGACACTGCCTCGGACAACTATCGTAAGAAGGCGTACACATATAACGCACCTATTGCGTCTCGATGACGTCTCTGGTTTAAGAGCCCGGCACTGTCAGGAATTTCCGTCTCTAAGCTCAACTTTCTGGAGGATCAATAACAGGCCCGCGAATGTCATTAAAGAACATTTTTAAATTGCTAGCCAGACAGATAAATAATAACAATAGATGATGATTGGGTGGATGGGTTCAGCCACTGGACACTAATGATCGAGGTTGTTGATCGAGGTTGCACTGTTAGTTCCAGACCCAATGGTGATCAGAAAATACTACTTTGCAATGATATTGCGCAGCACCGACGAAATCATAAAATCACTCATAGTTCACTGACAATTCACCAAGTTGACGCTAAGGTATCTTTGATCAGCGGGCAAAACTTGGGTCAAAAGTATCACGGGTATTACAGTCACAATGGCGGGGTTACGTAGACACAATACATTGGTTAGATACTTGTCACGTTCACCCGGCTTTATACGAGCTAAACCGTTTAGACGAAATGGTGATAACCAAGCCTGGAATCTCTTGCAACTTCTTACGACTGATGGTCTTCTCTATCTCTGACTCTCCGGTGCTATCTGACTTCTCTCGCTCGTATCTCTCATTTTTCAAAAACTATAAATGCCGCGAGAATTATCGCATACCGGTGCAGAACCCTACAAAACGCAAAGTTCACCTTTTTACAAAAATCTAAACCTGCTAATTTCGAAATAAACAATTTGCCATGAATAAAAATAATGTAAATAATTGAGTACTAAAAAATCTTAATAATTTTTACTATACTAATTTCCGATGAATAAATATTCTCTATAACTGGAGTCTATACCATTGCAACACACAATTAAAAAGCTAGTGAAAAAGCAAACAGAAAGATATTTAAAACTTGAGGGCTACTGTTGCCATGGCAGCTGAAGTCGATGAATAAATTTTCCAGAAGTGAGCAATGGAGTTTTAATGCACTGTTTAATTGAAAGCAAGTAGAAAAAATGAAGTTTGACGAATAAATATTGGCTGAGTAAATTGGACGGATGTTGATTAATGAATAAAACCCTAACTGAAATTATTGCCTATCTAAACTACGAAACTGAATACAACATAAACGAAAAGACAACAACAAACAAATCATAAGTTGGTATCAAAGAAGAAAAAAATATGACTCAATACTCACTGCAGTGAGTGACAGAGAGCGCATTTTCTCGTCGACGAAAACGTGAAGTCACGGAGGGACAGACAGACGGACAGACGGACGGATGGACTTGGCGAGCACAATAACGCATTTTTTTCCATAAATGAGAAAATGCGCTAACAACGGTGAGAAAAATTCCCCACAAAACCGGAGTCGTAGTTGGATGAAACTCTCGATCATATTCGCACGGTCCTCACCTAAACAGCCAGCTGCAGACTGTACTTGTGACATTCATTGAAATTAATTAAATTTTGTCCGAACCTGTTAAATAACAATTTTTGGTAAAAAAAACATGTGTTACAGCCTTAATACAACAAAAATACTTGCAACGAACGTAAGTATTGTACTGTAAACAATTAAAAGTTTGGATTGAACAAATTTCACGACTTTTTCACTGCGAAGATAGAGCAGCACTGGAGAGGTCGAGAAATATGGAACTAAACCCATACAACGCCAATAATCAAGCAAGTGGAGCTACGTACCTATCCAGTGAGGCATGGACTAGGCTGATAACTCAATACACGATTACACTACAGCACAACAAAACGTTTCTTAGCTTTTAGGCTAATGTAACATTTAAGGACCATTCTTACAACAGCTGACAGTATTTTACGCCTATGAGCGTTTTTTCTCTTTCTAAGCATTTATATTAAATTATTTACAGGAGGTTGGAAGAAAAACATCAACATGCGAAGTCAGTTTGTACATGAGAACGTGCATAAAGTTTTTTTTTTAAATGCAGGCGTAGTGATATTTTATGTCTGGGTTACGGAAGTCGCTCAAACCATACGTGGAAAAATTATTCAAAATAATATGTGAATAATTTCTGCAGAAACGAGTAATATCATTTCATAGTACATTTATTAATCCATTTTGTGAATTAAGGGCGAAAAGTTGTTAATTCTTTAGAAGAGTATACAAAGCAATGAGCTTGTCGCAGCAAGAAATAAGAGGACAAACTGGCAGTATATTTTTAAAATTGTCAGTTATGTCAAAAGATTGAGCCAAAAGCTTCAGCTATTCTTACCCTGTTTAATATTTTAGCTTACTCAGCATTACTTGAAGGTCAATAAAAATTTCAGGATATGAATAACTTTTCTTGGTATGCTATGACATATTTCTTCGTGGCCGGGTCAAAGGAAAATCTTGTACAACAACCATCAAAAATTTCTTACCTCCAAAAGAATTGGTATATGACAGCAATGCATCCAAGCAAGCCTACATTATCGATGTAGGATTCACTGCAAACGCACGGCTCGACATGCTCCATTGCTGATGGTAAAAATACAAATGGTCTCAGAAATGCCGTCCTAAAAAATTACGTGAAGCAATTAACAGATAAATCCCTCAGGGGTCTTGGGCTCAAAGAATAGATCGTGGATATGAAAGAATGTTGAACATCAAAGATGTTTATTGACAAGTGTTTAATGTGGATTAACATAAATAAAAAAAATCGAGAATAACAAACTATTTGACTTATTTAAAAATACGAAAATTGGAGAGGCTTGAATAAAAAATAATCAAAAGTTCAAAGTATTGCTTTTAAAATTCCATAAAAATAAACGATGCGATGACCAATGACACGACAAATGATCTGACTTACATGAATAGGCTTGAAAAATGAAGAAAAAGAAACTTTTTCGTGGTGATCAAAAGACAAAAAATTTATGAAGTATGTCACAAACCTCGCTTAAAATATTTTGTTCGACGTTGAAGTTACAGTGTTAAATTTTATTATGATAAATTTGCACAGTTCACTGAAATCGTGGAAGCTTTCAAGCAAAAGAATAAAAAAGTTTTTTTTTAACTTTAGTTGAACGTGAAAAAAGTAGTGATTTTATTGTTCGTCCAAAAAATTAAGATAATATAGGCTGAAAGGCACGAATATAAGCTAAAAGGCCTGCATGATAGGAGGATTACGAGCTAAAATTTCTATATTGACTAATGTTATCAAATCTCAAATCAGTCATCGACGGTGACTCCTTTTGCTTAGCCGCCTCACCGACTCACCGTAGATTTTCGAATAGGAAATAGTCATTTTCTTATTATGGAACCAGAACCATAGTTACATTTCAAATACTATTTCCGATGCTAGTTTTAGCAGTCACTTTTTAGCATTCATTCCGGTGCCTATATAGGAATACTTTAAAGACATCATTTGACGCCATTTCCTCCTATTACCGAAACCATAACTTAGGACGAGGATGCATGCTTACCAGTTCGCATTTTATGCCATAAATAATGAGGAAAGTTGATGCGTGTAGCATCAACTTTCCTCATTATTTATCTCAGTTTTTCAGTGAAATTTATGAAACCGTTGACGACAAAAAATTTTTGTTTCCATTTTATGCTGCTTGGTTGGGTATAAAATCATATGGCTGATGTTCTCAGCTGACGTTCACCTGAGCTGCCTCACACTTTGGTCGAGCATCGACCTAAGTGTTTGGGTGACACACGAATTGATTCATTCGATGTCGGTTAAATTTCAAACATACACATAAATGTGTAGTTGTCTTACGAAATCCACTTTTTTTCTTTTAGTTATTGTAATTTTTGTTTCCTTCGATGAATTTTCTAAGAACATTAATTCTTCCCCGATTGATGTCTTGTATGTTTTTTCGTGCGTTTTTGAGAATTGTGTTTTTTCGTCTATTTATGGACTCATTCCAAACAAAACCAATCCAAGAAACTTACGCAAATATATTCTAAATTGATATACACGTTCTATAATGCATTCAAGTATCACATTGAAAATACATATTCTTGATTAACATAGTTTGCAACATGACATTTAGATGTAATTTTTTAGCCGGGCATCTACTATGGCAAAAAACCCTACAACATCATTTCAAAGAAAATATGATTTAAAATTGTTTCTATCTAGCGCATCAAAATTCTGGCTCCATCAATCTAATTTAATGAATTTTTTTTTGCATATCATTCACAAAGGGTTATAATTAAGCATTTAATTACAAGATAAGATTTCCAGATAAAAATTTGTTCTGTACATGAAGATGAGACGCCTTGCGTCGCTGCCACCTTACTTCCTACCAGTGCTACTCGCCGCTACGCTGGTCACCGCAGCGTTCGCTGACGCTGCTCGAGAAGGTATCACCGAGACTCTAGACATAATTTACAAATTTCGTTACTCAATGCGTCTTTAACTTCAAAACGAATGTTGTACATTCGAAACGTGATTCAATATTAAAAATGTCTATCGGTAATTTAATTTAGTACGACTTATTGAAGTCGTACGAAGAATTACGAAGAATTTAGTACGACTTATTGAAAAAACTAACAACAAGCTAATAAATAAAACTAATTCTCTATTCTTTAACAAAACTTACATAATTTACATTGCACAAATGCTTGAAAATAGGTTAAATTAAAGTAATCAGCTAATTAGCTATTATATTTATAATTGTAACCCTTATTGCATTATATTACTCGTTCTGATGTTAGAAGATAATTATCTCTGATGTTTCTATCCTTTTTATTCATTCTATAAATGATAATCAAGCATAATTCAATGAAATATTAATTGATTTTACATTCAATTACAGTTGAAATACCACTCGTTTTGAATAATTTTTAGGAAATTTTACTGTATTTGGCTTTAGATTACTGTAAGGTATTGGAACAAATCTCACATTTCTGCACCTACAATTGAATTAAAATCAAAATCGTTATTCACTAACGTACAAGACGTCAACAATATTGTACACAATATGCCTTTATTTGAAGATATTCGCCAACAAATGAATTCTGTCAGTAAATTGGCATGTGAAATTTCGAACGGACATTGCACCTGTTTGGGGGGAATCGTAATTCTCGTTAAGGAGACGGATTCTTTTTATCAAAACCTATGAGGTGATAAAAGAAATATTGACATTCCGGGTCACATTGTGTTGACTACACAGGCAATATACCGCATCAATTTTTTCCAGATTTTGTATGGAGCAGATTGATTGGTTCCAAATATATTATCTGTGTTTTGAAAAGCTTACATATTTCTATTGAACATGGTATCCCTAATTCGATATGTTGACGAAATACAAACAGATATGAATGTAGAAACTCTCACAAATTCGCCATTGAATAGACTATACCTTTAGTAAAATTTTATTTACATTTTCCTTCCATTCGCCAAAGTATTTTAGTCAAATGGCGGTGAAAGAATTCTTCCACATAACCATATGTATTTCATTCAATCCCTTTTTTCCGTCAAAGTTAATCCTAAAATTCCGTCCTATTTTATCCTAAAATTTGTATGACGGTTCATGAGAATTACAATCGAACACACTGGTAGGTTATCTACTTGCCCCTCGTACACATCAGATTCATCGGGGAGTTCAGTATTGTCGCCCCGCACGGTATCGCCGGACGACGCGCGCCTCATCGCGGCCATCAGCACGTGGACGCAGCTGAGTTTCGTCACGTCCATCACGACGGTGCCTCTGACGTGCAACAGAGCTGTTCAGGGTACCGTGGCGTGCAAGAAAAGACGCAGATATGGAGGCAGGAAATTCAGCCTCATTCCTAATTTCAATGACGAAAGGTTAGGAAATCATGTCGCGTAAATTCGGCATTGATTATCATTTTACATGACATCCATACCAATGTTGTTTGAAGACAAATTTTTGTGCCAAAGAACAAGAGAATTTAGTTAAGTAAGAATTCAATTCTCTTGGAAAATGATTATGTTTGTAATAATGCCGTATGCATTGTGATCATATTTCGGTGGAAAATTTAAGATTATATTTTTATCAAAAATCATCGTGTGTGCCGTTAATGCTTCTCTCTCCAATGCTTTACTTATCTACATGAAAATTTTTATGTAAAATATTCAAAAGACAATGAAAAGATTTTGATAAGTCAGAATTAACGATCCCAGTAATTTTTCGATCTAAATTTGTAAATTGTACTAATGACTTCTACATTACCGTGAGTCTCCAGCAGATAACAAATTAAACCGCTGAAGTCTTGCTTCAGGCTCTTAACTTCTGTCCAAACTCACGCAAATCACGTTTTAATTTAATAACATAAGCTGTTCCCCCATTAAAATATTTCTCATACAAAAAGTTTAAAATAATGCACTTATTTATAAGGTAATTTATGCACTATTTATGCCGGCAGCTCCGTGCCGGCAGTGGACGGTTCAATCAACGAGGGCTCTTCAGTCGCAAGACCGGACTACTTAGTAACTGATTTAGACGGCAAAAATGACGAAGAAAGATCAGGGCGACTCGCCCTGACTGTATGGCGATCATTCACCTCCACCTACACGATGATCATGACCTCCACCAACAATGCAGTGACTTTCTCCGTGTCTATCGCGTGCACGATCCAAGGGGCGAGCTTCCCTGCTCCATGCTAGTGATCTCCAGATTAACATATTAACTCTTTTGGCTGGCTTCGGCAATGGTCTTTATTTCATGTACCAAGAATATATGTTTTTTTACAAACTTGCATCTTCAACTCTGCTATCTGTCTCAACTGTCATTTGTTTTTCATAAATTTGAAAAGTTTACATTTCTTGGCTCATCGCGACAAAATTCGCATGTTCACTTATACAATAGCTATGAGTTATTCCTGTTATACGATTTATCGGGAATTTTTTATTCCGCCTGAATGACCTTATCCATACGCTGCCAAACTTGTTTTAGAATAATTTTTCATCAAGATGTATTCATTGTTTTGTAGGTTAGTCGATAAGGGTCAAAATACACTATTTCAGTATAACGGCTTTATTGCAAATGATTTTCCTTACTAGCGATAGTGAAAGATTCAATAAAAATAATCAAAAGAACTCTCCACAAAATATTTCAAGCAAGATACTCTCGCATAGGTTTGCGAATAACTCTTTGATTAGTTATGACGTTTAGTGAGGAGTGAACAATTAAGTGACCGTTAGTAACGATCAGAATGCGAGGCAACCCTATCAAGCATCTGACGTTGGAACAACGTTGATTATTGGTTGATTTCAGGTTGAAATACTGAACATCCAAAGTTAAACGTCCAATCAACATTGAAATCTGACCAAAACTAGAACGGAGGTAAAACAACCTTATTTCCACGTTGAAATAACGTCGTTATTGGTACGTTGAATGTTTACTAATTTTCAAACGTTGAAATTATGTTGATTTCAGGTCGAAATACTGAACAGCCATAATTAAACGTCCAATCAACGTCGAAATCTGACCAAAACTAGAACGGATGTAAAACAAACTTATTTCCACGTTGAAATAACGTCGATATTTGTACGTTGCATGTTTACTAATTTTTAAACGTTGAAATTATGTTAATTTCAGGTTGAAATACTGAATAGCTAAAATTAAGGGGAGCATCTACCCTAAAAATTATCTCGGCTATTTACAATCGGATCACTCTGAAACTTGGTACATATATGTAAAATAGAAAAAAACTTGCATTTTGTTCGTGTGCATTTTTCGAAAAAAATGAAAGAAAACGTGAAATTCTTAGAAAACGGCTATGAAAGGGGGTACTGTAGAAATGGATCTTATCCTAGGATTTCTGAGCTACAACATCGAGACACATATCATTCGATGCGTGAGGTCTTCATCTACAAAATGTCCATCTTCTTTTTTTTAAATTCTAATTTTTGTAGAAGTACGGGGCATTTTTCCAAAATGTTTGGAAATTTTTCGATTTTCCCCCCGCCACCCCCCTCTTTTTGCAGATTAAAATTCAAACTATAATGAAACTAGAAAAACCGAGATGGACATTTTGTAGATAGTTTATTTGCAAATTGAATGGTATATGTCTCATTGTTGTAGCTTCAAAACTCTAGGAAGAGATAGGTTTTCCGTGACAATAAGTGTGAATGTTGAGGAGAGCGCGACAAAGTCACGCGCGCACCACAATATGCGCTCAATGTAGCATAGATTCCAAACTAAACGTTTCTGGAGCTTGATTCCACTCAAGGATGATGGGAGCAACTACATATAATTAGTTCCTATCTAATTACTTAAAGAACTCCCCCACCCGCCCCCCTTTCATGAAATGTCGTGAAATCATAAATCAACGTAGAGAGATGGCAGTGGTACCGTTGGATAGGGCAGAATGTCAGCTTTAAAATTAGTATAAAAACCGAAAAAGTAAAAATTTTCAATTTTAGGGTAGACGCTCCCCTTAAACGTCCAATCAACGTCAAAATCTGACCAAAACTAGAACGGACGTAAAACAACCATATTTCAACGTTGAAGTAACGTCGATATTGGTACGTTGAATATTTATTAATTGTTTAACGTTGAATCAATGATTAAACGTTGAAGTTTTTCATTTATGCAGGTTTGATCGAAGACCAGAGCATACTTTTTATTAACAATTTTCTTATTATTTTTTCAATAAGCCGAACAAAATATCTTGCTGGTACTTGGAGATCAAAAAGCAGTTTACCAAATGCCATTAACTGGAATACGACGTTTCGAATGTTCAATATTCATTATCAAGTAGGTGAAGAGTTATTACAGCGCCTAAAATTAAAATTTTGAAATGACATATGTTCATACAAAAATAATCTTAGATACGGTTCAAAATCGAAAATTGAATTAATCCGAGAATAATTTAAATGTCCTGAGTAATCCGGTGGTTTGCAAATTGATAGCAGGAGACTGGTCTTTAATGATTAGAGCCTCTACTATATCCACAGTCTGGTAACGTCGGGGCACCGCATGACGATGACATCTGTGAATCATCTGTAAAAGAATTGTACAGTGGAGAATCGTTTAATAAATTGTTAGATATATGCTTCATTCTAATTTTTATTTACAATTAAAAATGATCGGTTTCAGACTCTTTCTTTGCCGACTATTTTGAATATAGAATGTATTTTCATTTTTAAAATAATTAACAGCTATAACTATGTTTTTAATCGTTTTAAGTGTAATTATTTTTTACGATGCAACACTTTTGATCATTTAGTGTGTGAAAGCACCAACCAAAATGCGGCTATAATATTATTTCTCTCTAAATTAATTCTGGAAAAAAATATATACATTCGCTAGTTGCCTCAGTGAATATATTTAATTAATTAAATTTAATTTGGTAATTAATTGAATTTAATTTGGTAATCGGCGAGAGGAGGAGAAAAGCTGACAGAGAAAGTAGTGGCCATATTTTCAGATGAAAATGAGGAAATTTTAAGAGAAAATAGTTCCATTTCTGTTTTTCTTTTCTAATTATTATACATTATTTAAACTACTGGAATGGAGAAGGTTGTGAGGAGAGAATCTTGTCCATTGTACGGAAGGTTTTGGTATCGAAACCACAATAACTTGCTTCCATGGATCTGAAACAAGCCCAAAGGCCCAACTTATATTGAGATAATCAAATAAATTTTGTTTGCACAAGAATGCAGTCGTCATCTTGGTGCTTATCTTTTTTTTAATAAATATAAGTAACGCAATAACATTTTGTGGTGATATTTAGTTATACCGTTTATCAGAAGGATTTTTGCAGGCGGTAAGTCTCAATCCTCTCTCGATCCAGATCAATTTGTAAGTTACTTTCCACGTGAGAAACTAAGAACAGTTATTATCTCAAATAATCTGTACCAAAATGGTGTGGGAAATAATAATTACTTGAGCCGTTATACTGATATTATATTTTGACCCCTACTACTATAAGAAATTTACAAAATTATATTTAACATACAGACGAGACCATTAACGTTATATGGAGCTCGCGATATTCGGGAGAAACAGGAAATTTAGAAGTGGCAATTCTCAACAATACTTTTTCCTTTTTAACGAACTTAAGATTCTGGCTAAAACTAATAAACTGATTTATTGAAGGACTTTACATAGATATTCCACTTGCTTTATCTGCCATATAAATTTATTGAGCTTAAACGAACTTAAGATTCGGCCTAAAACTAATAAAATGATTTATTTAAGGACGTTACATAGATTGCGATACAAATTTATTGAAGAAACATATTAGACGCCGCAGTCTCTTATCGCGACTTCGAAATTCGAGTGTACTGCACAAGTCTCGATACTCTGATTTTTTTCGCTCGGCATTCGCATTGTTGATAGCCAAGAATATGTAACTATGATGAGCTTTTTTGCATAAATTGAAGTATTAAGCTAAACTGAGTCAAAAATTGAAATTTGCGGCGCGATCCATAAAATCTATATGGATGAAACAAATTAATACCAATTTCCATGCCAGATAACGTGTGGTCCTTTGGATACAGAAGTGGAAAAACATTAAAAATCAGCAGACCATAATTTGCATCCTGTTGTTGTCCATAATTTGCATCCATTGCCAGTAAATACTGCCTCAAATTTTTGAGGAAATGTGCTCTACTCTAATGGAATTATTATGTACTCAAGTGGAATTATTCCCCAGTTCTTTTCTTATTGATTCTGCAAATCAGTCAGGACCATATGCATGTGCATCTTTTTGACTGTTTTCCTACATGCGCTCGGTAGAATTAAAGTCTGGGAACACGGTAATGTCTGGGAACACGTTGCTTCAATAAGCAATCAAGAACCTCAAATGAAATTAAAATATACTAAATTATACCATATTGAAATATTACGTCACAATGTTAGGTGCTTCCATCAAATTGCCCAACCCTTGCCCATGCTTCTAGATCAACCGACGCATGGAGCAGGGAAGCTCGCCCCTTGGATCGTGCACGCGATAGACACGGAGAAAGTCACTGCATTGTTGGTGGAGGTCATGATCATCGTGTAGGTGGAGGTGAACGATCGCCACACAGTCAGGGCGAGTCGTCCGGATCTTTCTTCGTCATTTTTGTCTTCCGTGTTCGCTTCTAAGTCGTCTTGGGAGGCGGGAGACGAGACTAAGTTCATTGAACCGTCCACTGCCGGCACGGAACTGCAACACACGATTTGGACTGATATTTTAGTTTATAACTGTCATTTTTATGTCTACGAATCAGCACATAAAGCAAATAATTCATGTAATAAACCTAATTGATAAATGCTTTAATCGAACTATTAATCAAGTTCAAGAAACAAAGACAAACAACATTTTACTTGAAAAACCTGAGATTTTGGTGGTCATCCCATTTAAATAAATTGAACCATTGTTTAACACGTTTATCAGTATAATCGAAATGGATGATTAGCACTCTGATTAAATCTTCATTGATAGCCTCACTCCTCTTATGACCAACGGAGGCCATCTTTCAAGCTTTTGATTCAAATTGCTCCACTCAAATCTCCTCGCCTTGTTCAACCATTTACCGACCTGTAATAATCAAAATTTTGTAGTCGTTTCTTAAAGAAATTTTGTTAGTTTCAGCATCTGATCATAATTTGTTCACCCGTTATCTTTGACCAATGTTATGTTGTCGAATCTCCTGCTTCTTTTTGCAAAGCCTTAATTTTTTGCACGCCGAATCTCTTGAGACAGCTCAGTTGCAAAATCCATTTTTAACAGTTATCAAGTGGAGTAATCATTAATATCAAAGCAAGGTAGCAAGATTTCCTCACCTTTCCTCATTGAAATTCGGTATCAGGCTGAATTTTCTGCCTCCGTATCTGCGTCTTTTCTTGCACGCCACGGTACTCTGGACAGCGAGGGTGCACGTCAGAGGCACCGTCGTGATGGACGTGACGAAACTCAGCTGCGTCCACGTGCTGATGGCCGCGATGAGGCGCGCGTCGTCCGGCGATACAGTGCGGGGCGACAACGCCGAACTCCCCGATGAATCTGATGTGTAAGAGGGGCAAGCAGAGAACCATTTGTGCCTGAATCAAATTATATGCTGACATCATGAATCATTGAGGAAAGCTCTGTTGCACGTCAGAGGCACCGTCGTGATGGACGTGACGAAACTCAGCTGCGTCCACGTGCTGATGGCCGCGATGAGGCGCGCGTCGTCCGGCGATACAGTGCGGGGCGACAACGCCGAACTCCCCGATGAATCTGATGTGTAAGAGGGGCAAGCAGAGAACCATTTGTGCCTGAATCAAATTATATGCTGACATCATGAATCATTGAGGAAGCAACTCAAAATCAATTGATAGATAAAATTATTACGCAATGAAACTTGAACGGTCACTGTCCTATTGTTCATTGAAGAAAATAGATAATCAAAGGAGAACTTTTGTCGACATAAGATACTTTTAACCTTCAATACAACCTTGTTTGCATGTTTCAGCTAAGAACCACTAACGCGATATTTCATGGAAACATACGCTTGTTTGTCAACAAAATTATTAACTTGTTCTGGTGCATGAGATATAAAACTGATCTGAAGGAGTCTAAAAATTGTCTGCAACTCGCACAACATCATCAAAATATGAGATCGGCCATTAGTGTTTGGTCGTCTTGCGTATCCTGAGATTCCGACCGTGTTCATTATTCTTGTCCCGTCTGAAGTAGGCCACAGTTAGATAGATATATTACAACTCGACACGCCGGGACACTGACTGAAATTATTCGTTGGTACCCTCCATGAATTTCTAGGTAATGGGTTAAAGTCTATGATTATAGAGATGTCAATCGGATCACCTAACTTGAGCTGGTAAAGAAAAATTATAATATTGAAAAATATTGTAATATACCACAAGCTATAAAGTCTGTTGATCTGTCGGTTCAAGCAACGTTAGGTGATAATTTTGTGACGCTTACATTGGTGGATGGCTTGATTGTTTTAGGCTTCCAGTGGTAATTATTGAAAGGTTTCTACATTTGCGTCTGATTCACGGGAACAAACGAAAAGTTAAAAATTGCCTTATGAATGATCGGAAATAATCATTAGGCCTATTATCATCAATTACTCATTAATTCCTTGAGATTAATTTTCCAATAATTCATTTAAAGAAATTTTCAATATATATAAAAAACTCTGATAAATATTCTCCGTTTGTTTCTAATACGGCGATGACGAACTTTTAACAAGTACATTTGTGATCCTGCAGTCACTTCTACTCCTCTATTCTTCGAGAAATAGTGCGCCGTTGATTTATAATCATGTAAATTTAAAATAGTTATACCTACCATCTTGAGCAGCCGTAGTAATCCCTGCCACGACCAGCGCCAGGAGGAAGTAAGATGCAAAGGACGGTAGGCGTATCATTTTGCGGTTTAAACCAAATTGTCTTCTTCAGAATTTCTGTTTGTTGTACGTGAACTTGTTTCTTGCTGAGAATCTGCGTGTGAAAGTTCAGTTTAGTTGAAAAATGATAACATTTCCAAATTTTATTGTAATAAATTGAGACTTCAATGGAAACTATTTTATAAAAGTCATACGATTAATGTTTCATGTACGAGTTGTTGCAGCTATATAATCCATGTTATGCTGCTCGTATTATTTTCACCAGGAGAGATATTTGTTGGTAAACTTCATTCAAAACAACGTGATGATTTTGATATTCATTAAGTGGTGGCATAACGATAAAATACAAGTATACTCATCAGTGCCACGATGTTCTCTGTGATGCTCGAACAGATTATGTTTTTCGAGCTCTTAATACACAAAGTACCAGAAAGGCTGAAATTTTTTAGATCAGCCAATGTATTTTTCCACCAGCCACTAAAGTTTTCGTTAAATTGTCCTTATAAATACCCAATACTCTGCGGAGTGCTGAGTATCAACGATAAATAAAGTATTCAGTATTTGCAGTACACAGTTCACAAACAAAATTATGGCAACAATATAATGAAAAATTAACGATTGGCTTGTTAGAAAAATAAACATTGAATCCGATTCTTGAACTAGCGCTGTAAAAATTTACTTCAAACTACACATTTCGAACGCTTCCGTAGATGCGACTGCCTATAGATGCTTGCAAGCACGCACAGGAATCTTGGTTTTACCCCGACTTTATACTCGACCAAGCGCGATGGTGTAGGGATGGCAATTTTTTCGTTTAATAGGATCACTTGATATAAAAAGTCAAGTTTGGGAAAAAAGAAACTTATATTCGTCGCAAGCAAATCAGGTCTTCAAAGGTTTTTTTCTGCTCTTCAGGTAAAAGTTTGAGTAAATTCTTGTTTTCCATGGTCCAAACTTGGATGCAAAAAATAGATATTCATCTTGCTTGATTATCTCTTCATTACATACTATATTCTTCCCGGTAGAGAATTGCTTCTGCCAGTCGTGTATAAAGAAGCATAGGAGCGCTGCCCATAGTCTTAAATAATCTTGGTTAGAGCCAATTGAAAAAAATGTGTCTTAAATCAATTTATGCGCAATAATTTGGTGCTTGTAAATTTAGAAATTTCGGCTACTGCAATATTTCAATTCAAAATGTAAATGCTAAATAAACATCAGTGATCCTAATTTCAAACTTCTGTGTGCGATGAACTGAGTTTGAGCATACGGAAGGCCAGTGAATGGCTATAGTAATATACTTAGTCAGTTTGTTTGATCTTTGAATGTTCAATTATAAGTGGACGATGATGAGCCATCCAAGTTTGAAAATAGTTTCTAGAATTTGAAGCATCAAGAATACATTTGATGAAGCGCTTCCTGGATTTAAAATCTGACATTTTGAATATATATGTACTGGGACGCATTTAAATTCATATTCACGCACAGCACGACGAAGAGATAGCAATCGGATGTTCATTACATTATACTCTGCTAATTGAAAAAGTTCAGGTTCTTACATTCACTGCGACTTTTTTTAGTTCACACAGCAGTTACATGCGAGTTACAGTAAATTGAAAATATTTTATATGTCATACATAAATTTTTAATATTGATTACATTAATATCGCACAATTGTTTGAATCATCGATTAACCAGAAATGTAGAATAGAAGACAAGCCACAAAATTTGACTATTTGACAAATTTGACTCAAGACTATTTTGAATACATATATTTTTTAGGCTAAAGTCTAGTTCATGACAAATGTTTTTGAACAACATTTAGACGCTGGGAAGTATGTCTTGAAAATTTTCCGATTTTCCAACACTGGTATTTTTCTATCAAGAACAAAATAAATGAAATCATTTCAAGCAACTCAGGAAAATAGAAACACATGGCAATTTTATTGTTTTACTATAAATATGTTATAAAATAATTCGTTCTCTTGCAAAGTTAATTTTAGATGATATCTTGCAATGTCAATGTTTTTCACCTATATTGCTTCGAACGGACAAAAATAATTATCAGATCTATATTATTCATATATGCAAAAATTAAAATATTGGGACAAATTATTTGTTTGATATATTGTTCTCAACAAAATTCTCTGCGGCGGTAGGAATCTTTCAATGAGTTTGAAGAGGAGGTATCGGTCAAGGCCTTCATCTCTCTTCTTCGCAGAGCTGATCGTAACAGAGCTCGCTTTTGCAACTCATGAACGTATTCTAATTCTTTTACATACAACAAATTCGGGATGCATTTCTCATCGATACATTGTTCAGTTTATGATTGCAGTTATTTGATCATTATTTATTTGCAACCATAGAAATAAACTACGATCAAAGTGAATTTCCTTGTATTGTTGCAAAATGAAAAATACTACACTGTATCGTAACAGAAAAAATTAAATTTTTATGATTAGTAGAAATAAAGCCAGAAGTAAATTCAGAATATCATATTAGCAAGCGTTTATAAAATTAAATATGAAAACATTACGTGCGTGTTGAATAATGAAATCATTCACGAATAACATTGCCGTGATAATGCCAAAATAATTTTTCAATCTTAGTGCAAATGATCGACACTAGCCACATTCTCGAAAAAACAAACATTGCTTTAATTAAACAATTTGAACAATACTATTAGCCCTACTTAAAACATTTCAAAACAAAATTGACCACAGCCGTGAATAGAATTAGGAGACGATATGAATAAAAAAGATCGCTGAAAGTAATCAAAAACAAATTTTCTGAAAAGTTAGATCGTTTTCTATTTTTACAAAAATTTGATATTTTAAGAAACGTACAAAATAACACTCCTGCCCTTCCTATATATAATCTCTTCCTCCTGCTTTGCACAAATTTCAAAATTTTCATTACAAAAGTGTGGACTGTGTTAAAATGAATAATTTTTGTTATTAATAAGTTTCTTCTTAAAATAAAATTAGAATTTTTATAATTTCATACGTAGATAACCATGTCATTGTGTGGAGCCGTATTTTTTATTCTCATTAAAATATTTCAATCGTTTTTAACTCCGCCTATATATTTGGTGGCAAATTCGCTAGAGAATTTGCCTATTTGCAAGAGAATTTGTCATCTAATTAGATGACTTGACTTGTGCGAAATTCTTTCTTTTGAGGATTAAAAATACTAAATTCATATTTAATTTTGGAGAGCTCATTATCTGTGTTTGTTTTGTAAGATATCGACATTAAACTCAAGAATTTATTTATAAAACTTTGAGTTAAATTTTACCGAAAGTTATGGAACATTTGTATTTATAATTGCAAGGCAACATGCGAGTGAAATTAAATAGATCTCGTTTACTAATAGATGCAATAACATTACAAAATAACCCCAATAACTCACAAACACCGATATGAAAAATGAATATAAGTTAAATTAATAATTAATTGATCAAACAGTTTGGATATGTTTATCCAACATTGCTTATGACTGAGCTACAGCTCAGTAATACGAATTACGAAACGTCAAAAGACATGTTAGTATATTAAAAACTTTGCAGAAAATCATCTTTTTCACAGTTTAAAATACTTTGAGAAAGTTTTTTGTTGTTTCCATAGAAGATATCGTTTGTGATATTCGGTTTCAATTAAATTTTAATGAACATGGGGGTTCATCTGTTATGAATTACCATTGGAGTTTTAGTGACTTTTCCTTTCCTTTCGCTTCATAATTTAACATTATTGATTTATTATTTCACATGATAATCGAAATTTAACGCTTAAGTTTTAGCTTAATTTTTTTTAATTTTATCCTTTAGTTTAGCAATATTGTAGCGATGCTGATGTAAGCCGTGTAGGTCTTGAACCACAGATATATTGTCTAACATGCAATGGTTTGTTTCATTATACCTATTTTATTGGGCTTCAACCCATTAAAATATTATTGAATCATCCATAAATAATCTTAACAGACATCGTTGAGGCCTCGAGTGTGAACGAGTTTATGAAGAGACTATATTGACCAGTGTTGCTCATTTTTTCGTGTCATTGCACCGTTGAAACTTGATTTTATCGTTCAAATTTATCCACGATGCTTTCAATTAAACGGAGTTTCGTGTATTTATATGGTTTTTACGTTAATTTGTAATGCAATTGGAAGAACGCTATGGCCAAAAAATTGCCGTGAGAGGCCTTATAAAAATATAATTTGTGGCATCGAAGCTAATATTTCTGCTGACAATTGTTGTCCTGGAATATTATATTATCATGAAATGTATACAAATCATTTCCTCAAATTAGACCTGCAATGTTTGCTAGAAAATAAATCTAGATTCAGAAAATTTTGATACAAAACTCCGACTAAATTTTTGTCGCATTATTCTTCAATGTCTTTGCCGTGTCGTCAACTCTTTGCCAAGTTGATCGTTACCAAGTGATGTTGCTCTGATATTTGAACTCTAAGAAAGTTGACGGTGCTTACGTCTTCCTCCTCGATCAGTGAGGAAGAATCACTTGTTCTCGATGCGTATATATCGCTGCTCAATGCTCTGTCGTATTCTAATTTCTTAGCATAAGGGATTCGATAAGATTTTTTCCGAATTTTCCTTCAGCGTTTACGAGTAAACTTTTTTCCTGATTAATATTTTGTCAAAGAACGTCGCCAAAATATAATCTGAATGTTTGAATTCTTGAATTGTCTCGGTGGCGAACATACTGACAGAAAATACAATACATTGATATGAGCACATTTGTTAAAGAATTCGAGTAATTCCTTCTGTCCTAGCCATGATCATAAATTTTTTCGACTTGTCGGTGGAAATAACAACATTAGCATAGCTAAATTATAGGAACGTGTATATTTGATGTTAAGAAACAAATTCAAAGCATGTATTCGTTTATTTTGAAATGAATAATGAAAAGTGTGACAACTTACAAAGCTTTTGAATCTCGTTTAAATCTTTCCTAAACTAATAGAAAATCTAAAATGTTCGACTACTTTCGCAACTAAAGGACGAATGCAAGTTAAAGTTCAATCTAGATATGCGCATATTTTATTATAAAAGAAGAAATATAATCATTACCTCTGCAAGAAGACGATGGAAACATTTAAAACAATCAACTTGAGATATAATTTTCACTTCATTTTTTCACTTCAATTATTAAAGCCCATAGAATATAGGAGGAATATTAATTTGATTTGGTATAATTTGATTAATGGTATAATTTTTATCAAGACGAGAACTTCGAAAACCCTATTTTGCACACAAGTTGCCACGAAAAGAAATTCAACAAGTGGAATGAAATATAAATCAAAATTCATGCTCTCATAATTATTGACTCATTCCGAGCAGACAAAACTGCAGTCAAAAACTTCGCTAATTGAGATTATGTACACGGCTTCACAGGGAAAGGCTGTATTAAGGAAAAAGATGAATAACAAACAAACAAAAAAGAAATAAATTTTATTCCACTGTGCATTTCACATTGTATTGTGAACGTCGATGATACGCTGAGTTAATAAATGAAATCATTTGATGTGCGTTCGGCCCAACCAAATACCATGTTATTATTCATTTTTGTTAAATGTAACATACTCCTAAAATTATGAAAAAGTGAAAACATGTATACATATTAATGGAATATTATGATTATTTTTACACCGATATTATTTTTTTATGTTACCGTCCTAAGAAAAATTCAGGTATGATAGAGACTCTGCGAGGAACTCGCTATTGTTGCGTTAAGGTTATTCTGGGTCTGCTCGGCCACTCGACCGCAACCAGCGACTAGTAAGAATCGACTTGCCGAGTTTTTAGTCTCCTGGGAGTATGGTAGGAGTGAGCATGGCTGAACCTACCCAGCCTATAAACTGCCCAGAGGCTGCCTTTCAAGCCCACAGCGGAAGGCAGTGGGCGGAATCCTGTCGGAGGTGCATGGACGAGCTTGTCTGCACCTGCATAACTAAATGCATGCAAATGTCGTGCCGCAATCACGGAATTGCCGATTCCATGGAATCGGCAGTCAGTCGCCAAATCTGAATAATCAGCATTTCTATACTATAGGAATCTGGGGTTAAGTCAGTCAGCCGAGTCCTTTTTTTAATATTTAAATATAAAGGAACTTGACCGAACTTGATTTAACATTTTCTACCTCTAACCGTCGATTTATGTTCTAACTCTAATTTTAACGTCTGATTTTCTGAATCAGTAAAAAATGCAAAATTCTACAGATTCGGCAACTCGCTGCCGATTCCATGGAATCGGCGATTCCGCGATTTCGGCACGACATATATATGCCATAATCCGTAGCGTGCTGCGATGAGGCTCAGTCTACACATCGTCTTAACACGCGTTCGAGACTTGGGAGCTGCGCGTCGTTCTCTCACCGGACTGCAGGTAAGCAAATTGTAATTTAATCTCATATTAACTCTTCACTGCTTACCGATGGCGATTACACTGCTATACTGGGTATGTAGACACTTGTATGTTCTCTATGGCTGTAAATGCTTACCAATAATAGAGCTTACCAATAAAATATGCTAATACCGATAAATGCTACAAAAGCAATTGAGTGGAAAGCCGTTATCAGTTGATTCAAGACGAGAAGGACTCATGGTTCAAATTGAAGGAATTATGGTTTAATTTTTCGTCTATTTTCAATGCTTTTGTGAATTATATGTGGCAGCGTTCCTCATAGCAGAGAATACACAACACTGACATTGTTTGGTTGCACAACTCTGATATTGTTACCATTAATTGATTATCGATAATTTTTTTGCATTATTTCTTCGGATGTGAAGGAAAAATGTTTTCTTAGTATTTGTATTTAGTGAGTTACAGAAACAGGCATTGATGGTAAATCACGCATAAATTCAATTACCCCTTCCATCCTCTCACTGCCGAGGAAGAGGGGGCCATTTTTTAATCACGTAGTCAGACTCGGCCAGAGCTGCCCCGGACACGGGGACGACCCTAATGCGAACCACTCAACGGCCGCCAGACTAAGGACCAGGCTCTGGTAGCTGTCTGACTTGGGACCGGAATGTAGACCAAAAAGCTGACATAGAGAAGCAGATTTAATATGCTCCCCGAGTCTTAGGCATTCCCTAATTCAGAGCCGCCCTCGGCCTTAAATTGTGTTAGGGTGATAACACTAATGTTTAATGAAGAACAATTCTTTATAGCCTCATGCTGCCGCGTACATAGATGGTGACACATAATAAAGCGATATTTTCAGTCCTATTTCGAAAGAAAGAACTTGCCCGAAAAAAAACTACTGAAGTTAAATTTTCTCTTCTACAGGCTAATGCCATAAAATTTTTGTAAAATTTATGAAATTAAAAACAAAAAAATGTAAATCAAACATCCTGGAGCTCTAATTTTGGTCCTAACTTGGTTACTCTCCTTGATCATCGCCCACAGGCGTTAGGGAACGTCGCCCCCGGCACACTACACAAAATGGACACAGAATACGTTATCGACAAGTTAGTAGCCGTCATGATAATCGTGTACGTGGTCGTGACTGAAGTCCACACCGTCACCGCGAAGCGTCCTTTTCTTTCCCCGACGTATTCCTCGGCCACCGCCACGCGCGTCTGGACTTCGGGGCCCGCCTCTGACAGCGATCCGCTCAATTCGGGCGCAGCGGGCAACCTGCCAAGTGGCTTGTTGTTGAGTGATCACTCTCCCGGTCATTATTGATGAAATGATTATTTTTATGCATTTGGCATGACATTTCAATTTGAACCAAAATTTCGGGCGATTAATTGTGGTTATTTAACGCTTGTAGTCAGAATGCAGCGAAGTCTGAAAGCGAGGTTTTCGCGACCATCGTGTAAAATTCTTGATCCGAAGCTCGGCCAGTCGCTACCCTCGAGCTTGTACTCTTTGTAGTATGATATCCTAGCCAGCCCCTTTCTCGCGGTTACTGGTCGCTTTCAGGTGGCTGAGGAATGGCCAGCGGTCGGCTATAACTAATTGCACTAGACCGACCACTGGCCACGTATCCTATTATTCCTCGCCCCTCATTAAGTTCCCGGCACCATGCCGCCCGTCGCGAACTGACAAATCAGTAATTTACGATGTCTCTTTCCCTTCAAACTTTGCACAACGCCTCCATTTGAGCAGCTAGTATGCGGGATTTTCCCTCCACGTATCAGCAGGCTCGATCATAACTATTTTTTGAGAAATAATATTTTCAACAAGGAGGCTGATCAAGGAATGCCGAGTATACCGGTCAATGGAGAATAAAAATTACAACCCGTTTACATCTCGAAAAAAGTATAAAAGTCGCAGACTTGATTAACAATAATTTTCAAAATTTCCTGAAATTTCCTCTCGTTATAACTCATTTAATATAAAGTTTACATATATTTTGTAACTGGTCGCCGCTTATAAATAAATAGCTGGGTAAGCATGGGAAAATCCATATTGCCATCTCATTTACGAGTGGAGAAAATTCTATTCTAATTTCTTAAGAAACGCATAGGGAAGAGCCGAGCCTGTTCGAAGCCTCTCGGTTCTCAATCAGAGCCTTAAGGCGGATTTCTATCTAAATCAGGGAATATATTGACTCTTCAACGGCACGAATACTGTATGATATTTTCTGTAGTACTCTTTCATAATTAACAGCAATTTATCGCGTTGTTCGCGTTAAGCGACAGCGAACCCAAGAAATGCGCATGCATGATCCGACCAGTCGAACCACGATTGTTCCGCTTCCCTCGGATCACGGCCTCTGTTTTGCAAGTCTTTCAGGCTTCCCACACTTCTGATGTGAAATTATTTAGTGAATGAAGGTCCTTCTCATGACTTTGACAGGCTGATCAATGATGGAAGACAAAATAACCATTCTCCTTATTAGAATATAAAATGTCTTGTTCGCAACATTGAATAAATTGTTTCCTGACTACCCGTATTTTCTAGTTTTTGTATAAGTAAATAAACTGGTAATGAAAAAAACATTGTACAGCCTGCATACGTACCAAGAGTCTTGGCGAGGCTGTTGACTATTGGATCTCTTCCTCCTGCCACAGTTGACGGTAGCGAACGAAGTGTAGCAGGTGTAGGGGATGGTGGACGTGGTGGTGACGAACGTAAGGTGAGTGATGGTGCTCAGAGCACCTAGGAAACGGCCGCGCTCTTTATCGAGCTGCGCAGCTGCGTAATTTCACATTTAAATTTGAGCATTAAAAGTCAAATTTAATCATAAAAACGTAATTTTTGAGTAACATTATAACTATGAAAATTTATGAAAAAGATTACTGCCATGACCAATGCGAACATTATTTATGATGAATTGTTTTCGGAAATGAGCTCATGGTCTATCAGACTATCAGGCATCGGGAGTTGTTGAAAAAAATATAACTCAGTACTCACTGCAGTGAGTGACAAAGAGCGCATTTTCTCGTCGACGAATACTTGAGGTCACGGACGGACAGACGGACAGAGAGACAGACAGACAGACGGACACGTCGAGCAAAATAGTTAATTTTTTTCCATAAATGAGAAAATGCGCCAAAAAACGAGGAATTTATTCGTTTAAAATATTTCCGAATTCGTTGGCCAATAAAAGCGTTCATCGTTTTTAAAACAAACTTTGTTTTATAATAAAATATATGTCTGAAATTCTGTAAAAAAATGAATGACTAAATTCCCATCATGTAGGACTTATTTGTAAAAAAATTTTTTCTTGATTTAAAGGCTTAAAGGGAATACGCGAAATTATTAAGTTATTCTGCCTAGTACTTATGAGAGCCTAATTATTTGGAAGCAGGATTGCCAGTATTCAGGAAGTGTATACGAGGCGTGTCCGTAAATTAAGTTCCACGGGTTGCCGCTGGCGCTAGGATCGTTTCTATATATACGCGGCTAGGCAGCAATGGCAGGTTGTTTGATTCCCCAACTCCAATCCCTTACCAAGCCAGCCTCCCTGCGACGTTTGGTCTTGCCCCAGCAGGCGTCAGCGAATGAAGTTTCCCCTTGCATCTCCCGCCAGCTGCGAGTAGCGGTCTGTTGCTCGTTTCCTGGCCGCTTAGAAGAAATCGGCGAAGGAAATTCACGACGAACTTTGTCAAGTAAATGAAGAAGAGTTTATGAACTCCGGAACTGAGCACAGATGGGTCAGGGACTTTAGAAATGACCGAACTGATGCCCGTGCAGGGATGTCCGCTGCCGCTTGATGACGCCCGCTGCTGCTGGTGGTCTGATGTGAGCTTTGCTGGTACCAATATTGCACAGAACTTTGAATTGCCTAAATGTTCAGTCAAAACGTTGTCAATTTTAGTTTTACTGACCTCCGGTAATTTTCACCCAGTTCTCGAACTGTAATCTGTCGATCTTCAAGCATAACCGCTTCGAATTTGGCAATTGTTTTGTCAAAAACCGATTTCCGCTCTTCATGGGCATCGTCTTGGACGTCATTTCGGCCATTTTTTAAAGTCCCTGACCGATCTACGCATCATCCCGGGGCTCTTACACTCTTCTTCATACACTTGACAAAGTTCGTCGTGAATTTCCTTCGCCGATTTCTTCTTAGCGGTCAGGAAATTAATAACAGACCGCCACTCGATGCTGGCGGGAGACGCAAGGGGAAGCTTCATTCGCTGACGCCTGCTGGAGCAAAACCAAACGTCGCAGGGACGCTGGCTTGGTAAGGGATTGGAGTTGTGGAATCAAACAACCTGCCTTTGCTGCCTAGCCGCACATAGAAACGATCCTAGCGCCAGCGCCAGCCTGTGTAACTTATTTTACGAACACGCCCCGTATATATGAGTAGTCTCCAGGTTATGTACTATAAATAAACAATAACTAAATAGAATTTTGAAAATGGAATCGTTGACTGCGAAAAATTGTGATGCGCAATTAGTTTACCGAAAAAGTTTTGTTCGGTTGAGGCATTTTTCACTTTGCAAGAATGTTATCGCCATTGAACATAGGGTGACCAAACTTTTAGTACAAAAATTACCCCGAAGTACTTGTACTCACTTGATGACCTGAAGATCACAAGGGCCAGTAAGACCGAAATGAAGGTTTTCAAGGAAGAAGGCATGCCGACGCTCCAATCTGAACTAATAAGAATAAGAGTCTCAGTAATATGAATTAGAGTCCTATGAGTACATTATGTGTAGAAATTTTGAACTTTAAGAATCATTTTGCCCGGTGGCTTTATTGGTCTGAACAAATTTGAATTGCACAGTTATAAAATTCGTTTGAATTACAATATTTATGACATTCTAGTTAAGTTCTTTCACACACAATGTTTAGTAGCGTAGAGATTATCATGCATACAACAACGATTCACAAAATTGCGTGCTATTTGTCTGCCTAGGAATCTATTCAGCGGATTTGAAATAAGGTCTGGGTAAAAAATATTGCTTCTAATTTTAAAATATAGAGCCGCAAAATACTCACGAAACGATCAACTCCTTGATTTGTTTTCTCCATGCTAAAATAAATTCTATTGTTTAATTTCTCGGGATCAATACAATCCTACACAAAGTCTAAAATGTTCACATGTTATCGTTTTCTTTGCTTTACTGAAGCTGATATTCTAAGGCTCACCGATATGTTAATTAATCAAAAACGGTAGAGAAAAATCTAATCAAAAGATTTATAAATTCAAAGCAACAACCTCCCACTAACTAGTTTGCACATGATCTCTTCTTCTATTTTCCATTCACAACATTTCGTTGTCACGTGAAAACTGATAATTGAAGTGTGTTGATTGATTTTATCAAAAAAGTAACAATTTTATGTCAGCAATCATTTACTTGGGCATTGCAAGCGAAAATTTCAATCAGGCATTCCTTAATGGAAATTCATGGATTATAGTTTTAATGAACGAAAATTGGTCTTTCATAAAAAATTGAAAGTACACTGAGATAAAAATAATAATTCTGATTTTCCTGAGTATTAATTTTTCCCGATACCCACTCAGAAAAATGAGTGGGTAGTGTTAACTTTCGTGGACAAGCAATTTACTCATCCCATTATTTTATCCAGAAATACCTATTGCTCTAACATTATTAATTATTGAAAACTTGATAAATTAATTTCAATAACATTTTATTGAATAAATTATTCTTCTGCTGGAACCATATTCCTCTTACTCATGAGTTCAAGTCATTTAGTACAGGTATCATAATTTACTGACATATTCACTCAATTTGTGCTTTAATTGTTCCGTGCTAGCAGCAGTGGACGATGAAATAAATTTGGACGCGTAGACTCGTCCATTAGCCCAGACAATTTCCTCCAAAAGTGGACGTAAAAAATAAAATGTTTGAGCACGCCCTGACTGTGACGCTCAGTCACCGCCATCTGGGGCCATACTTTCAAAATTCGCTAATGCGAACGTAAGTACTTACGCTCTATTTTCTTGTCTATGATTGGTGGAGTTTGCTTGAAATAAGGCCGTCAATGATTGGCTGATGAACTAACGATCTCGCAACTTTTTTGAGAGTATATATAGGCCATGTACAATAATTATGACTTCCACCAACGTGCAATACTCTGATTGTCTCGTTGCCTATGGCGTGCACCATCATATAGGATAGAGCTTATACCTGCATGCCGCACGAGGTTCACCCCTCCTATAAGTGTGCGTAAATTCCTAGATGTACAACGGTAAAAGATATTTTTAGTGATTTTACTAGGAGGCAAATATTCACTTGCTGCGTGATGTATTATGAACTAAATTATAATAAAGGACTTCCATATCTAAAGTATAATACATTGCTGATCAGCATGCAATTACTGAAAAATATTGAAAGAATAATTTGTAATCATTCATGAGATGATTTCGATTAACTGCAATATTGACCATAGGATAAAGTAAATGCAAATTATGACAAGCAGCGTCAGTTCAATTTTTCCTGCAAAAGGAGCAGGCGGTGCGTAAACATACACCGTGGAGCCCGACAAAGACCTAAAGTAGACTGCCGTATATTGACATCAGCATCAGGGACGCTACCCCTACAGGAAGAATTGATCGGAAGGCCTGTAATTAAATAAACCAGGAAACCGCGACAATTTTATACAGCGTGATAAGGTAAAGCTTTAAATGTTGATACACTGAACCGCAGTTCACATTTGCTCTGGGAAGCTTGTGACAATAGAGCGTATCAGGAGCTTGAAGGATTACATTTTTAATGTTCACGATGTTTAGTTTTACTGATCTACATGTGTAGAAACATTGACTTTAAGTACTAAGTTCCCTGTCCGATAATTACATTTTCTATCTATTGCAAAATAAATTTAATGTTTAGCAAAAATATAAGACATCACACATTCCGCTCACATGTTTTCCATAATAGCACAGAAATGCATTGGAAATACGTAATAGTAATTACAATTTTGATATAAATTCATCATTCAATAACTTGTTATTGAATTAAAGTGTTTTACGGTTACAATTGATAGATATTAAATCAAATTATACCTCATTTACTCAATACTTAGAAAAACATTCATTAATCTTCATAAGGAAAAGCGAACTAAGATAAATACCTACAAACATCTACTAAGGTCGTTCAACCAACTAAACGAAAAGCTTCAGAATTCAGTTTTAATTGCTTGCGGCGGTAGTTTTGAAATTCTGGAGTAATGGAAGAATTGAAGTCAGGCATAGGTCACGAACTCTACACGAAATTTTAAAATTAAGTCTATATATTATTTGTATTAAGAGGCAGTAATTTTCCCCACTCATAAAAATCATACCTGCTGATTTTTTGTGCTCTCGATGTGAAGATGGAAACTAAAAAAGGAAATTATGCAGCGATTGCTGTTTGCCTCCTGGCGCTGTTGTTCACATGCTCGGCTGAAGGTGAATAATCTATATACATGCTATTATTGCTCGAGTCTCTTTCCAACTTAATAATTGGCGACACAAATGTTGTGGCGGCATGTATGTCATTGACGGCATATGCAACGCTCCCCGAACACGGCATACTTCTGGATTAGGCTGCGATTGAAGACATAATTTTTGTACAGTTTCACGTTGTTAAAAATAGCAGAACAAATATACAGACATTAATAACTCATTCTATGAGCAAAATGACTCATTCAAGTTTGTGTCCAGATATCAATCATATTAGAGTACCAGACATCTGACGTTGAATCAACGCTGAAATAAACTTTGTTTCAACGTCATTTGCTTGCTGGAGAACTCTTCCCCTTAGATGGAGATCGCAGCGATGACGCGCGTCTCTTCGCGGCTATAAGAACCTTAACACAGTTGTCGTTCGTCAGCACCACGACTACGGTGCCCTACACCTGTCACCTGAGTCTGAACACGCAAGCTTGCAGGAAAAGAAGACGCTTCAGGAAAGCCCTCGACCTTCCCAAAGAGCGGTAAGCTTTCGTCGAAATAACTGTGATAAGACTTTTCCAATCGAGATATTTATATACAGTTAAAATGTTATCATATTTTTAGTTTGGAATTAATAGATCGCTAGACTGGAAAGTCTTTTATGTCGGGTTATAATGTGCTGGAGCGTTCTCAAAAGACTGAAGTTTACTATGATTTTATTTCCCTTTTATCCACATTGAGAATTAAATGACAATTTGTGTTAATTAATGTGATGCGGGACAATCAATTACAGATATATTAAGCATATGTCATGCATTCTGATATGGTAGGACATAAACTTACGTAGTATGTGATTTGAAATATTCAATGGTCGGTGAACCTGTTTGAATAGTAAATCTGATCCCCTACAGGTCCGACAAGATCCCTTACAGGTCCGATCTTGACATCGTCGGCTCGTTCGCGGACAATCACGCAATTGCGGACACCGATGATAACGAAGGATCGCGAGACCCAAAGCTGGCATTAACTTTATGGCAGTCGTTCACGTCCACCTACACTATCGCCGTTACAACTACTAACCTCCTCAGTACTTTCTCTGTATCTTTCTTCTGCAGCATCGTTGGAGGAAATTTCCCTCCTGCGTGTTAAACAATTATAGGCAAAAAAAAATTACTCGCATAGTCCTGTCGTGATTTGTTGGGGAACCGTACTACATTGGTATATAATAACTTCTTAAATTGCATGCTATATGATGTGCAATATTAATTCTCTGGAAATTCTAGAATTTGCTATGACATAACACGCATAGAAAATAACGAGTGATCTGCTGCGAATCTAGATGACAACCCTTTCTTTTTTTTGTTACAATGCACGCATGCTTAATTTTATTATCACACTATTTCCCACGCTAATCTGTAGAGCCACACTTCCAGATCCGTCAGTAGAATAATCATCATATTCAAATTTTCGGTATATACCTTGTGTTAAGGAGTCACTAATAAAAATAAAACTGCATACTAAATTTTGCGATTTTTCATTTTTTGTCCTAAGACTTTTTCCACTCGAATTTCTATACATGAATTTGAGTAACAATTAAGAGGACGGTAGCTGGATATAAATGTTGCTGGATATAAATATAAAAATTGGACTTTCAAAGACACTTTTTAAAAACCTGCTTGAACTATCGGTTTTGAATTCTTTTTTCATGTTCAATGGGAAATTTTATCAACAGTGTGAGGGTCTTGGCATGGGTCTACCATTAGGGCCAACTTTTGCAAATATTTTTATGTGCCTCCACGAAACAATATGGTTAAATGACTGCCCTATTAGCTTTAAACCTGTTTTTTACAAAAGGTATATAGATGACACTTTTTTACTCTTTCGATGCCAATCTCACGTATCTTTATTTCTAAATTATCTGAATAGTAAACATACGAATATCAAGTTTACCATGGAACCTGAAGTAGAAAACAAATTATCATTTTTAGACTGTTTGTTTCATAGAGATGGCAATAGTTTTAAATGTTCTGTTTTTAGAAAGAGTTCATTTTCTGGTTTAGGACTCAGTTTTTACAGTTTCTGTACCTCTAGGTTTAAAATAAATTCTGTGAAGACATTGTTGTCCCGAGCTTTTAAAGTTTGTTCAAGCTATGTGTTTTTACATGACGAATTTGTATTTCTCAAAGAGTTTTTTCTCAACAACGGCTATTCATCCTTTCTTATTGACAAACTCATTTCAAATATTTTATCTAAAAGGTACGACCAACCATCCATCACATTTGGCCCGTCCCTCAGAAAAATTTACCTGTCCTTTCCTTATTTCGGCCACCAATCCGAACGTATGAAAATTGATATCCAAAGGCTTCTCTCGGAATATTTCATCGGTATAGAGTTCAATATTATTTTGGTAAATAAATTTACAATAGGTTCTTTTTTCAATTACAAAGATAGACTTCCTTTAGCATCTAGGTCTTCTCTGGTGTATTCTTTCAGTTGTGCACAATGTACGTCGGTATGACCGCACGAGCACTTTTCACCAGAGTTGCCGAACATGCTGGAAGAAGTTTCCCTACTGGGCGTCCACTTTCTCAGCCGCCTCATTCATCAGTCAGACTTCATACAGAACAGTGCCCACTTGCTCCTCCCGTGTCCATCAATCAATTTAAAATTCTTTGTAACGCTAGCAGCCAAACCGATTTACGAATTTTAGAGTCTCTTTACATCCATAAACTTAAACCTAAATTGAATAACCAATCCAGCTCTTTTCCTCTTTCGATTCTAGGTCAATAGTTTTCCTTTCTTTCCTTATCATTTTCTAAATTTATTTACTAAAATTGATTTCCATGTATTTCCAGATGTATTTTACTAGCTGATGATGGGCATAGCCCGAAACGTTCTGTTTTATTTATCTAGGACTTCTATCTAGTAAAATGTTTTATGCAACTTTTTTGGTTTTAGCCATTATTCTTAAACTGAGAAGAACTCCTCGATATATTGTGAACTAAATGTCAATCGTAAATATGCTAAGAATGAAATCGACATCAATGATTGTAGGAATATGGTAACTAATTTTCAATTTTTTCCAAGTTGGGATAGTAGTTTACAACCCTTCGAGCATCTTTGGGATATTGACAGAGTAAATTTTGATTAGATCAGTTCGCCAGTAACATATGAAGATAGTTTATATTCGTTCAGTTAAATGTATCATCTCCTTGCTATGATGGTCAACTAGTGAAGCCATTCGTTCTATATTTCTATTCCTACCAATATATTATACGCCTGAATTGCACCATCTATGTATAACTAACGTGTTTTTGTTCCATTGCCTTTAACCCGTCGAGCTCGTCCTTGATTTGAGAGATAAACAAGCATATAAAAGAGCATTTATCCTTTACAGAACCTCATATATCATCGTTTTCATCCCGTCACTCGATCGCTGTCACTTTTACACTAAACCAAATCATAAACTTCATAACCACTTGCGATCCCTACCAATAGAATAAAAATTGAAAAATGCCATTAGCTCTCGACTGACCAACGCAAAAATGTTCGCACGACTTTAAATTACTCGAGAATTCACTGCATTCGAATGGGCCATACAATCCCTGACCGTGACTGCCCAAACGTGTCTGATGACGCCACGGAAATAGAGAAGCTGACGTCCGAGAAAACTACTGAAACACCAATTAAAATAAAATAAGTATACAGTACTTCCTGATAAAACGTATATAACTTACAGGACGAAACATATTGTTTTTGTTAGACAACTGGACGAAGACGTCGGGAGCAGCACTGTCACTGATACCAAATATGAAAACACATTACTACAAGCACTAGCACGCATAAAAAAACTTTGTCTGAATCAAACACCACTCACACGTCACGAATATCATACCATTAAACACAGCAATAGCTTAACGAATACTCACAAACGCTTTTTTCAGTGTATCGCACTAAAATTACACCACCACGTTGTGAACATGAAATCTACACCCTACTTCTGATCTGCAAACAGGGCTACGCAATAGAAGACTCACCAGAACACAAAAAAATATTCACTACACAGATCTGTCTGAATGCGCCACTAAAGATCACAGGTACACCTAATGCACCAACAGAGACAAAAATGATCTAACTGCCACATGCAATAATTTTGTAGGGGCTAGAGCACACACTAAAAACTAAATGCACTTCACTGAGCAATCAATCTAACATACAATAAAGGCCCTTCAGCGTAGCGTAGCCTAACGCGAATTCACCAACCGCAATCATAAATTATAACCGTACAATAGGTATATTATTAGTAATAATAGGTATAATAATACCATATATTCATGATAAAATTGCCAGAAAGCTAGCAGGAACAAAACGTATCAGATGCATGGAATTTTTCTAGTTTTTTTTAGCCTAAGATCTTGTATGAGCATCAGCTGAGGTGATTTTATATACAAACAATGGTACGCATTGTTAACGATTTCTTATCCAATTGCCAGCTTAATTTTTAAACAAGTACTCTGAATGCGTCGCTAAAAAACCCTAACGAGGCAAACAAAATGATACGAAGTAAGCATTTCAGTTTTTCATAAACGACGGAAAAACACTATGAAAAAGAATATTTGTGCTGATCTGTGCTAACCAAAATTTCGTTTGTTTCATCAAACTATGTGTTAGATGTTTGATTCGTTTCATCCAACTTTTAACTTTTACCTACGTACAGGAAAAATTCTCCCAATTCTTAAAAAAAGTATTTATAAATATTTTTGAACAGAAAGCCTAACGCCTTATTTTTATTACGTTGTTCACGGTTGGTAATGAGTTAATTCACTTTGCAACGATCTTCTTCGATATAAAATTGGCCGTTAAACAATATAAATAAATGATCGTAAACCTGGCGCCGCAACAAAAATGTCTCTAAATTATGCAGAAAGAGCGTTTACTCTTCCAAATTTAATTTGAAATAATATACGTTTAAAAATTACTTTTTAAAGACAACACTTCCAAAGAATCCAGTGTCTCCAACCTTACAGATGTACAATGAATTTCTCATTTAATTTTCGAATATTAAAAAATTAATTTTTCTATTTTTTAATATATAAAATTTTTTTAATATATATTTTTTTCAAAATTATTTATTCTGTTAATTGATTTATGCCTTGCCTCTGACTTCACACAAGTGTGCAAAATTTCAGATCAATTAGACAGGTAAAAGTGTTTAAAATATCAGTTATAAGATTTGTAGCTGACAAAATTATTTTATCAATTTTTTTAATTTTGAAAAAAAAAATTTAATTTTTGAAATCATTTATTTTTACATTTGATTCATGCATTGTCTCCAACTTTACACAAGTGTGCAAAATTTCAGATCGCTAGGATAAGTAGAATAGTATTAAATTTCGATTACAAGATTTGTAGCAGACAAACAAACAAGAAATAATGTTGAAAAAATTTTCTTTTTTAAATTTTTAAAATCATTTATTTTGTCATTTGATTCATGCATTGTCTCCAATTTTACACAAGTGTGCAAAATTCAGATCGATAGGATAAGTAGAAGTTTATTAAACTTTGATTTGAAACAAACAACAAGAAGTGAAGTTAAAGAGAAGTGTTGTAAAAACCAGAATTTCAACTGCCTACCACATATTCAAGGCTAACGTTATTTCATTCAATCTAGAAACTTTGGAGCTTGTGAAAAGTTTCAGTGGCAATGAATTTTTCTGGCGAATATTTTCAACTTTATTTTCATCCGTCGATGATGCAAATATAGGTTGGCGTCAAGTTCAACTATATTTACTGACATTATTTCGGTCACTCAGTAGCGCGTTTACTTTGCGTGTTTATTTTATTAAATAAAATAAAATTTCCATTTGTATAAAAGGCTTCTTGAGTGAAGCACCTGCATTACCTGTGCACGCATCTTTTTATTGATAAGATGGAGGGTAAAGACACATTGAGAGCAAACAGTAGAAAGGCCCGGTGATTGATTTAAATTGAATTTAACACTATTTTTAGTGCATTTTCTCATTTATGAAAAAAGGCGCTATTGTGCTCGCCATATTCGTCTGCCCGTCTGTCTGTCCGTCTGTGACTTCACGTTTTCGTCGACGAGAAAATGCCCTCTCATTCACTCACTGCAGTGAGTTCTGAGTTATATTTTTTATATAAATGCATCATCGCGTGTGCTAAAGCAGTAGTTTATGAGCACATATACTAATTGATTTTCTCAATGTAATTCCCATTCCAATAATGCATCCGGCTGTCGTTCGCCAATCTCCCAACTCCAATTAAAATGTCGAACAGTATCGACTTTCAATATTTGTTCGTGTTTCTCTTGTCCATTGGTAAAAGTCTGGAGCTTATTTTTTAACTGTGCTTAAACAGAATTATCTAAAAGTTTATATGACGTGATCGCCTAGCCCTAAATAATTTTGCAGACCACCACTGAATTTGTGTTTTTTAAGCATCTTGAATATTAGAAAATGTTTGCATTTATACTGATTTCTAAGCTGTATTTTATTTGTCGTATTTTCGTGTCCAGACGTTCAATTAATTAAAAAACTAACGAATATATTCTCGGTAATTTTCTAGCATCATTCAGAGATTTTGGTACTAGTTTGAGCAGAAAACTTATTCATGAAGTGCAAAATCGTTTAGTGACTTTACCTAAAAATTAAAATTATGTAAAACTTAATGAACAGGCAAGGTTATTGAAAGACGTTTGTAGGAAAAATTGTACTGACGAAGGCCTTAAGTTACACACTGTACAGAAATGATCGCTTGTTCAATAAACATATCTTAGCAAGTAATTCAACAACAATAAATAAGCATAACAATCATTGGAGAGCAGGGCAGATGAACGTCTGCTTAGAGTAGAGAGGGAAATAATGCCTCGCTAAGCAGATCGTCAGAGCCGCGCTCAAAAGCCAGTATTTCCGGTCAGGGCACCAAAAGTTGAACATTATCTACTGGAAAGAAGGTTGGACGTAAAGTATGCGTCTGTTGCTGCTTGTGGGTCACCAATAATCCCAAAGACATAAAAATTTACATACAATTAATGGGTGAACATTTCAAATTGATTATTATTGGCAAAAATCTTCAGTAAAAGTGAATATATCATTTTAATCAAGAAAAAATTTCAGGTCGTGGTCACTTGTAGCCAAAATAAAATAATAAGTGAAATAAATGAAAATATTGCAATTCCACGGACGGAAAATTTGGGGGACTATGTACATTTCGCCGGAAACTGGACACCAGGAAGGGAACACTGGAATGACACTGAGAATTTGGTGGCAGCGTTGGTGGATGTGGCAGTGACGATGAAGGTGGAGGAGACCTGGGTCCACAACGTCACTTGCAGCTTAGCGTCACCGCCGTCGACGTTGCTTTCATTCTCAACGACGTCGGAGATGGACCCGTCGAGAGTCGAATCACTTTTAGAGCTGAAAATTAAAATTAAAATTTCAAATGCTCAAAATTTGGGAAAATTTTATTTCATTATCACGGTATAATTTTTTTGTAAGAGTATACATTTTGATATACTCATCTAGATCGCTCAAGTATCAGCCATCCATTTCATGATGAAAAGAAGGTATCAGAAGTAAGGTTTCGTAAATTAAAAAAAGTTTCTGGGATCATCTATATTGCGCAGGTAAGATATTATAATCGACCTCAATTATTGCTCGACTGTAATTTCCTCTGAGATTATCTTGACATACCTTGCATCATGGACGCTGAGTCCTTTGACGGATCTTCTTCTTCGACCGCCCCCACAAATCGCAGCATTGACTGTCAACGCGCAAGTCGATGGAACTACCGTTGTTGTAGTGCTTAAAATGATGGCCGTCTGCGTGACTCTGGCAGCGATGAGGCGCAGATCTTCATCGGCACGATCTGCTGGTGTCCGGTAGAAGATACAGGAAGGGTCAAATTTGCACGACTACTAACAGGTTTTGTTTAAGGACCGCAATAAATTTGCTCATATATAACAGCAGCTTTGTAATAACTATGGGAGTGAAAACATAAATTCTCATTCTATAACTTTAGTATTGTAAAAAATGAATAAATTTTCTATTGCTTCGTAGATAAGTGAGTAGCTAAATGTTAGCTGCCAGAGCCCACGCTAAAATAATTGTAGGTGTCGTCAAGTTTGAATAAGCATGATAAACGGATTTTATTTCCATATAAACCAGTAAGAACTTTTCGTGATCAGGCATTGCAAAAGAGTGTAAAATGATTCTTCTATTTTAATTGTGCAAATGCATGTTGAGTTTCACCATCTTTATATAAATCAACCTAACGACAAGGGCAGAACAGGTAGTTTTGAGATGTTTTTAACTATATCATAGATGAAAAAAATCAACAAATTCTGATATAGAAAAAAATAAAAGTGAAATTTTTTAATACAATTATTTTTTTCGGTTACAAATGAGGAAAATATAAACTCTCGAGCACTTATTACAATTGGGAAACGAGCGACTTGATTTCGTTAGCGGTTACCTGCAAAATAGACTAAGCACAGACTAAGCATTTATTTTAAAGTCGATTGCTTTACCTTGTGCCTTAACTGATGAAGCAAAGGCGAGCAGCAGGGCCACGCACAGACACTTCATGACTGAATGCATGTCGAATGTCCTGTCGATTGAACGATGTCTCAATATTGTAAACAATACGCAAAAATATGCGAATTTTGTTAAAGGTTGTTGATTTTTTATGTGAATAAATTTTTCCCTATTTCATTCATACATCAGACCGTTGCTCGATATCACCGCTGAACTATCGTTAAAAAAGAACTGAATAATATTCCATCATCATTTGCATTCATACAGGTACATTAAATGTCGCTCGGAAATGATTCTTCCTTTCATGTATTTTCAGGAATTCAAATTTGCAAGAAATTTTGATTACCAAACCACTTAGATACATATAGAATTTCATGATTCAGCATGTTATTCTTCAATTACTTAGTCTCTTTGCTTCCATTAAGATATTACGGAAATATATTTACTTACAATTACAATTCACGTACCAGTCTAATTATTAGACAAATTATTAATTATCATTAAGCTTCAGACTTTACTGATCGTCGGCTAAATTCTCACTAGACCGAAAGTCTTGTAGCTTACCTCAAGCAGCGGTGAAATCGCAGTGTGTTGGTTGCTCAGCGGTCTTACCTTTTATAAGAACTCGGAAGCGCGATGAATTCGTGAATACCTAATATCAATGCGGAGAAACCTTTTGATGCGAGTTTTTGCAACGTTTTCCTTCAGCAAAATTATGGACAAGGAAAGTATTCTATACCTCCTGATCCTCAGCGACGGCGCAGCAATTCCACCGTATCAGCTGCGGGCGTAGAATTTGAGACAGGCAAGACGTGACTTAATCTTTTGCCTGACTTCATCGCATTATTATTAGAAATTATCAAAACTGCGAACTATTAATAAATTTTAAATTTCACACTTGACGAGGATCGTTTAAATCAATAAAAAAACCTGTTTGACAAATTTTTGCCGATGGTTCGATAAGATAAAGAGAAATTTTGAATCAATCTTTGCACTTGAATGTAGTAAGCTAATGAAGAAGCAGGAAAACAATCAATAAGACATTACTTCAAGGCTGATCATAACTGCACAGTCTTGAATTTGGTCGCAATTACATTTGTCATGTACGTTTATTTTATACAAAAAATTATTATTTGTGTAATTGACGAAGGCAAATGCCTCACAAAATTTGAACGGATTGGCTTGGGAAGTGTTTAGTTAATTTTAATGTATGTGATAGACTTCTCTAAACTTTCACTAAAAATTGCACCAATACAACGTTTAATACTTTTGCAGAAAAACAGTTTGTAACTAGTAACAATTAAACACAAATCCACATGTTTTCTGGCTTCATTCTTGAATTGCGCATCTACCAGCTACTCAAAAATGATTACACATGTTAGAAAACGCCCACCGGTTCATATTAGAGACACCTTTTTAGGCCTCTTCCAACCACGGTTGTTCTTTCTGTCGTAACGTTATTAATACAACACCGTATCAAACTTATAACTCTGGAATTGTACGAAGAGACTGAAAATTATTTGCATATAGCCATGTTCAATATGGCGCCTCTGTTGGTCTCTTCCATTAAGCAAGTAACTCTATCTCACACCAAGTTTGATTTAGTAATACAATCAATTATAGTAGTGTATTATGCTACACTTAAATAGTTCTTGACGCTGTGCTCGTACTTTATTCCACATTGATTTTGATTTTTTACTGACTGACGCTAATTCTGATCATTGCGACGTGCAAGATTTACCAATTCGATCTTTAAAAACTCATAATAAATTCTGGTTCGTAAAAACTGAAACAATTTTATGCATCTCTAGAAGCTGCCATCAAAGCATAAACTAGTTTACTACAACTGTAAAAATAATATTCCGATGCCGCCATGCAATGTTTTCTGGAAATATGTAGAAGTAGCCGCTGCAGGCTTTTTTGGTTTGAACCGTTAAAGCAGAGCCTCAAATATTAAGTAGAGCCTATGTTAATTGAAACAACATACATCCACTATACGGCGGAATGGCAACGGTAATTGGCTGATAATGTAAAATGAAGCAACGTTGTTTTGCTACAATTTAATATGACGCCATATCAGTAATAGCTTGAATAGTGTTGATTATAGTTTTTCTTTTTGCATTGAAATCTTGTCAACAAAAACATTTGTTTTGAAATTGAGGCAAATTCAGAACACAACATTTGCAAAAGTTTATCGCACAATACTCTATCTGTTGTTCGGTTTCTAGCGTCAGCGCCCTGCAAATTGTAGAAAGAATCTTCCCATCTATTTTTTGATATAGTGTCGTGGGTATAGAAGCAAATAAATGCTGAATAAATATAATAATGAAAACTATAATAAATAAACGATAAATACAAGAAATCTAAATAGAAATAAACCGAGTTTTTCTAACTATAATAAATAAACGATAAATACAAGAAATCAAAATCGAAATAAACCGAGCTTTTCCCAATGTTCAACATTCGGATTGGAGATTCGGATTCAGGCTGCGCGGCCTATATGAAATGTAAAAACAAACTCTAATTTAGGACAAGTAATAATGAGCTAAACGCTGAATATGGAACCGAACACTACACACATGATTAAATAACGCAAACACATATAACTGTGAATTCACGGTAATTTCAGAAGCACCACTGAATTTTCAGGCACATTATACTCAAATATCACCAAAAATAATGCAACCACTAACCTCAGTGGTGGATCACGCAATGAAGATAAATAAGAAAACATTTATTGGCAAAGTCATATCGGTGGCGAATCAAAACTAAATGACAAATTTCACGAATCCTATTGCAATCCCTAACAATAGTACAAACATACATGCCTACCTTGTCATAAGACTTGTGATTCCAATTAAGAAAAATTTAGATCAGTACTCATTGCAGTGAGTGACAGAGAGCGCATTTTCTCGTCCGTCTGTCCGTGAAGAGGCGCTAGAGACAGGCCTAAAATTATGGATAAGTGATTATGACCTATAAGGTTTTCTGAGAAGGTTGGAATCAGGAGGATTGTGCATTGCATGGGGAAAGCTGAAATACTCAAATATAAAAGAGAACAACACGAATTTTCATTGAAACCACTCTTTTTGTCGTCGCAATGGTTGGAACATCGCCAGCAGGGTGGCCCAGTGGTTACAGTTCAGGGTACCATTATTGGCGCAGAGAGGCGCGGGTTCGATCCCAGCTCTGTGCGCCAGTTTCTTGTCAGAATCGGCAAGGAGGCCGGGCGGTTGAGCACAGCAAAATTGGAGCAGTGAGTTGCGCGTTCGAGACCGCAAAATACTGTGAATTTTCTGCGATGTTAAGAATCGGCGACAGGCCTACGGCCTAATAAACGCTGAAACCGCTACTAGTACTACTACTACTATCATAGTGTGCCCCTACCAAAAGAAAAATTAAGGGTGCATGTCGCATCGATGATTATTGGTGGCGATGGTAGATTATATGTGACGTAACGAGGGGTGGCCACTGTCCACATCTGGCAAAAATTTACAGTAAAAAAAAAACAAGAATCGAAAGGTTGGCGGGCGTTGCAGGCCAGGTTATCGGTCTGTGCAGCAAGCATTGATGTTATACAAGTACTATACTTCCTATACGGGTTACCATTGCTTGGGCGTTCTCCCTCTCCTACGCATTTCAATAGAATAGTTATTCTCATTGCTTAAATTGTATGATAAAACATATTTAAAACAACCACAAGAGACTTTAATTAAGATTTTGGCCGAATCTAGAAAGTTTTGCCAATTGACTTGCTTGTAAATTATTGGTGGAAATAAATTGTTAGAGCTACAAAACTGCAACTCTATGTATTATATCAATGTCATCTCAGCGTGTGATTAAAAATCGGTTCCTGTTATATTAACGAATCATTGCAACTGTTATAGAAATAAAGGCCTTCATCGAGGTATCGATTCCGTTTTGATAAACTGTAGTTTCTCTGCCATAGCGAATAAAAAAAATATTTTTAGCGCATTTTCTCATTTATAAATAAAATGTACTATTGTGCTCGCCCTGTCCGGTTGTCTGTCCGTCCGTGACTTCATGTTTTCGTCGACGAGAAAATGCGCTCTCTGTGACTCACTGCAGTGAGTACTGAGTTTATATTTTTTCTTACATGAGGTTTAGTTCTTAGGCAGAATTCAGCCTCAGGCACCTCAGTTTTACAGGCGTTAAATTAAATAAAAGACATGCTTGCAGTATTTATTGAACAATATTGATCAGGAATGATAATTGATTAAAAATATAATTTTTGCTAAAGAACTAGTAACAATCCAGAGTGCAAATACTCACTGTTTACCTGGCAATCAAAATGTTCGGGATGAATTGCTAGGTAATATATTGTCAGTTCTTCCGTGGTTTACACCAAGTCTGTTTATCCACAAGCTGGAGGAAATGACTGTCCGGGGAATGTGCATTGGAAAGAGACGGCAAAAGTGAGTGCCGCGTTGGTGGAGGTGCTAGTGAATGTGAAGGGGCTAGTGCACGTCGTCCATAAGGTTAACGCGAGACGAGGAGTTCGTTGTAACGCTTCGTCTCCTTCGTCATGTGTGACCACGTCAATGTTGGCGCTGCTGTCGAGATGGCTGTGACGTTCGTCCCTGTGTGAGTAAAAACATATAAAATATTTAACACGTTCAATTTAGTACACATGCAACAAGTCGTTAAAAATATGAAAGCAAACACGGGAAAAATATTGAGATATACATTCTAAACAGATTAATGAAAAAAATGAGTACGCAAATAATGTTAAACAAATCAAATTAGGTTATTCTCTAGTTTTGGTTTGAAAGTAATGTGAAATAAGCGTGTGAACGAACCGTAGATGGGCCCCGCCTAAACATGAGTAATTGGGCGAGGAAAATTTAGAGGCATTTGTTGTTGTATTAATCCTCATTCCATTATAAAATCGGAAGAGAACCAATAAACTTTTTTATTCTGATATCATTGCAGTGATTCTAAACTATTTTATCAATGGTAACGATTTTATTCGCGCAAGGCATCATACAGAGATCAAAATTAGCCCAGAACGTCTGTATGTTCCTAGCTTTGAACATATTTGAACGCAGTTTAGGCATACCTATAACTGACCTGTAATATCAGGTCGATTTGTAGTCTTCACCTTCATACCAAAATTTCCACACCGACACCCACCTCATTGCTCGGTCTTTGACGGCTTTATTGAGCAAAAGCTTGCGTTTCTTGCGACAGATGTTCGAGGTGGAGATGGCTGTGAGACACGTGAGGGGCACCGTCGTGGTGATCGTCGTGATGGATATCGCCGTTATGGTGCTACGGGCCCCGACCAATCGCAAATCTTCTTCATCGCGACCTACAGATAATAATACGCTGCTCATTTTAGGAATAGCGATGCAACCTTGAGGAAGAAGACTGTTCCACCGGACGACTCTGTTTATGGATTTTTTTTGCTTTTGGATTGTAACGTAGATCAAAAAGTAAACGATTCCGTTACTGTTTGCAAAACAACTGAAGAAGCGGATACACCATGTGTAGATCAATCGAATAAAATTATTTTACGGTAAGCTGCAGATTATGGATTAAAATATTCATCATTTGGGCAAAGGTGTCACAACTCGTGCTGACCTAATTGAATAATGCAGTACTAAAAACTTGCTACCACTATCGTTTTGGAGTCGATTTTGGGAATCGGATACTTGATATCTCATATGACGTGGAAATGAAGAAAATAAATGTTCGATCATGTAAAAATTAAATTAAATAACGATAGCAGTAAAATAAATCTAAACGAATAAAGTTCCAACTGACCATGAACGTTCCCTAACATTAAGGTGAAAGTCAATATTATTAAAATTTTAATTCTCATTGTCCTGCAGGGAAAAGATAGGCGAGTTATTTGAAATAATTTGTTTAATATTTAAACTTTTCTTTTTATAAATTATAATTGCAGCCTTAAAGAAACATTGCAGGGAATGAATACGTGTTTTCTGCACGAACAGTTGCAGGGAGATATAGGGTGCCCCCTGCCCCGGGGATGATGGCGAGCCTCGTCTCAACAAGCCCCACCTTGATAGAGCGTTGGAAAAAAAAGACTTCAACGAAATTCCTAAAAGCAGTTCATTGTTTGGTTCAGTTTTATTACAGTTTCGGCTAAGGTAAAACCCTAAAAATTGTAAATTCATGGATAATGTATAGAGAGAAGAAAATTTACATGTATATGAAAATGTACATGCACAAATTTTCAGTTTTATTGATTTTGTTTACGAAATGTTCTATTGAATTCCTGAAATATTCCTGATTTAGTTCGTTCAATAAATAAAAACATACATGTAAACAATAATCAGCTGTTTAATTCGATTTCATTGTTCCTCATCTCTTTGGATTAAATTTCACTCATCCTGCAGCCGTTGTTTACGGATTTAAAAGTTTTTTCTTATTTACTAGTAAATAATACTTATATCAATCCAATTCGTTTTTCAGGGCAACAAAATTCATGGCATTTTTTAAAAATTACAATTAACATCCATAGTCAGCAATTTTTTATTGGGGTATTAATATCTGCGACAAAAATATTCCAATGCACGGATGGAGCAACTTAAAATTGCAGCAAATTGCTCAACCGGCAAGTCTTTTGTGACCTGCAAGATGCCTTATATATGAGCTATGACGAGGAAAACTCCCCGCTTAAATTAGTGGGCTCAGTCATTTGTTTCGTTTTCTAATTAGGGATGATGACTCAGGTTTATTAATTGTTAGTCGAAATAACTAAACACACAATTAAAACATTCGACTGTAACCAAACCACAATGCAACAACAGAAAAGTCAAATGTTTTACGATCAAGACAAACAGTTTCATCTGCATGATTCCAAAATGCATAGCCTCAAACTCAGGTATGAATGATTCTGAAGCAATAATACAATTTATTCATAACATACATCTGACCCACCTTACGTACAATTTCTATATTATTTATCTTCTAAAATGCGAACAAAATAAGTTAACAGAGAAGTCAACTATCACTAATATCTTTTTGAAGAAGAACATTAAGGCGTCGGTTATTGAGGAATGTGACGGCGCATGCCATTGTAACATTTATTGTAATGAATTTCGTCGAATTTTGTCGTATCTATATCATATGGATGCGATAAAAGTGATAAATATAAAAGTAAATCATAACATTTACTTATCATCAAAAGACAATCTAGATGTTCGCTAATGGTTTGTAGTTAGAGTATGTAGGTATGGCTTCCATTTTTTATTTTGTTTGCGTGTTTGTTTTTTATTTTTTTTTTTGCGTGTCACTGTATGGTTATTGAATTGTAGATTATTAATATTTCCTGTGAATTTTGACTTTTTAACATAAATGAAACACAATAGTCGTTAGTTTCGTGCATTGAATTTATTTATTTAAAAACGACCATCAAATTTGATGATTAAAATTTACTGTTAGTATATTCGTAGAATTTGTCTGAAATGTCAGCACATTAGGAATCCACGGTCAGGAGAAGAGCTATGTCCGTCAGAGAAATTAATTTTTTATCCAGCACACAAGGCCGGATATGTGGCCCCAGCAACAGAGCACATGTACGAGACAGAGAACGTGACGCCTGTATTGACAGTCGTGATGTGCGTTAGGGTGGTAGTAATGGACCACCAAACTGTGTACGACAGACGGGCCTTCTCGTTCTCCGCGGTGTCGGACTGTACGGCGTCCAGAGAACTGTCCAGTAGGTCACCTGGAGAATCCCTGTGCACAGCAACAGTGATTGCATTAATTAGGAAAACGCAGGTGTATGACGCATAAAATTACGTGCCAAATGAGCTCAAATTCTGCATTCACAACAAATTATTATTTATTTTTCATTTGCCCACGTTCCACGCGATTCAATTATAAAATTCACGAATGGGTAAAGAAATAATTGAGTTTTTCTGGCTCGCATATAGTTAGAATCTAAGGAAACAAATTATAACTTTTAAAGTCTCGCTACGCTTATTTTTAAATATAACTTGAAATTTCTTGTATGACTTGATTCCAAGAAACTGTATATTAATGGTGGCAACTGCTAGTAACATGATAATTACAAGTAACGATTCACTGGATACATATGGCATTTCAAGGTTCTCATGTACAATGAACTGCTCTGAAGATTCGCATTTCGGAAGATTTCATGCGCAGCAGTGAACAGAAGACGCGTTTTTTATAGTTTCAAAAAAATTATCGGCGGAAACAGTGTCAATATTCAAATTGGGTGGCTCAAATTTCCAGATTCTAAAATTTGTCATGAGTTAAAGACGAAAAATACAGTACAGCGTTAACAATAAGTCGTTAAAAATGGTGACATTCAAAACCTCAAACAAGGTAATTCGAATAACTCGAGTCTTTGCTTCTATAGAGATTGCCTAGCACTCTCTGAAGTGTGCACGATTATTTTCCCACGATTCGGAGAACGAACTTGTTCTGAATGAGCAGCATGAACAACTTAGTGATTGTTCAAGTAGATTCCTGTAATCATAAATTCGAATAAAAACACTTTCTCTAATAAATGAATTTACGATATCACACTCACATAGCAGCTAGTTTTTTGTTCTGATTCTGCGAGAATAATCTCCTGCGTCTCTTGCCACATGCCACGGGATTGATGGATGTGGCACAGGTCACGGGTGCTGTGGTGGTCGAGGTGGTGACAGTCGTGATCGTCTTGCGGCTGTTGGCTGCGATGAGACGAGCGTCTTCGGGGAAACGAGAACGCGGCCTGGGTGCGACCTCCGCCTCGTCGGCTGTCAATATTAAATATGATATAGGTATCTATAATATAAAACCTTCGACTGGCAAGGTGGCCGCAATTATACAAAGGAAATAATTTTTCAATGCGTGGTTCTGATTTTAAACGAACTTTAATGCTTTTTTCATGGCCAAGATACAACGCCATCTACATTCCTCTGCAATATTATTTGCCACATATAATAACTAACGCGCTTGTTCCTATCAGATTAGCAGCTCGTCTGCTCACGCTTCAAGATAAATATAGAATTCCGTCACCAGTCATATTCAGTCCACCAGCTGAGTAATTATCTGTATCCATGGTTAATAAATTTCCTCACCACGCTTGGTGAGTGCTAAAAACTTGAGACCTATTTACTTGAAAAGTCTTCTCTGAGTTAATATCAAGTTTTTACAGAAATTTTTTGAATAGAGCGAAAATATAGCGCGAATAAAAGTTCTAGTACTTGTTTGAACACGTTTGAATAGTGTTACGGGCTTGACCAGCCCATTTTATATTCTTCCTCAGTAATGCAGGTATTTTCCTACTAAATAATTAAAGTTCATACATTGATCGATTCAAGACGCGAAATCCCAGTGAAGATGTTCAAGTGTGGAAATCTAACAATTCATTAATGATAATAATTCGTTGGTCTTGATAACGAATGAAGAAAAAATGTAATCAACACCAAATTCGTCTCACATGTTGAATGAGGAACTAATCAATATTCTTCACCTGCTGAGCACTAAAGCTCACCTGCGAGAGAAGCACCCAAGCCTGCTATGAGACACACAAACAAAAGTCTTTCCTTCATTTTCCCTAATCTGTGGGGAGAAACAAACAGCATGAGCTAATTTTATATACCAAATAGGAGCTGCGATTGAAATTTTCAAAAGTTTGATTGGATTGTTTCATTTAATTTCAGTAATTAGCAAATTTCTACACGTTACACAGCCTAATCTATCAAAGACTGCGCTCTCTCATTATAGGAAAAATCACAATAATAAAACGATTTTAACAGCAGTTGAAGGCTTCTAAGTTTCTTGTCGGCAATTGTTCAGCCTTTATAATTAATTCATGCAGGTAGAACTGCATTTCGGGAACAAAAACTGATGCTTCATTTTTTAACTACCCTGAGCCTATATTCTCAATTCATGAACACTGCTCTTATTTCTACGTGTGGTTAACCTTCATTTCCTCGGGATGTTTAAATAATAAGTAGGAAAAGTGGCGAATTTAATTTTCTAAATGAATAGTTGAATTTTTCATGACATTAAATTTTTTGTAGAGTTCAGTATTATTATTTCCGCAAATGCCGTCGATTGGGAAGGAAATGAAATTCTAATTTGTAATTTTGTTCTAAATTTTTAAAAAGCATATCGAACATCTGTTCAGAATGAATTTTCATGAATGATAAATGGTTCGAAATATGAAAACGAAAAATTAAATTTATAAATGGTCACTTCTCAGCTGAATTGTGATTTCATATTGAACATAAAAAACGATGTATATACATGTATTTGCTATTGATCGATTTTAACACGCAATATTTTTTGCTGAGAAGTTACAGGACAACCTTTATTGCGTATGATCATTAAACACATAGTCAAGTTTGATTTTTTGGTGTTCGGCATTTAATTTGACAACATTAGGCCCAATATAATATTTAATATTAGGCGACAATTAAGGCCCGATTTCGAGAGCTAAGAATTAATTTCATTTTAGTGGCATTAAAGTTCATAGTGAAGGCTTTTAAATGTCCTGCACCGTATATAAAGAAATATAAAGAAATTTACAAGCTTCAAAAGTTTATGAACATATTTCCAACTACACCAGGCCAGCGGAATCTCTGGCACGTCAGTTGGACAGATTGTTTGCAGTCTAACCATGAGCCGGAAAAGCGTCCTGTTAAGTACTCACCTTTCACAAGGTTTAAATTTGTAGTTCTCATTTCGGTACATGCCAAAGATGGTGATTAAAACAAAATATTTTAGCATTTTCCTTGTTTAGAAAAATAAAGACGACTAACTCTACAAACGAGGCCTACCTGAAAGGAAAAGCGACACAATAAAAATGCTGTGAAACAATGATTTCAGACAGGACTAATTTCGTCTTCAAATTTGAATAATCATGGATACACCTGTCACGTCGCTCGAAATCTATTTGAATAATTAGAAATCTTTGTTTGTCTCAATTAAATAAGTAATTTTTAGTCAATACACTCGTATTTAAACTTTCATTACCAAATTAAATTCGATTTTTAAAGGGAAAAATTCTAATAACAATAAAAAATCTATTGAAAACGTTTGGATAGAAATATAATTACCTATCAAGACCCAAAATTAAACCCTTTACGGGAAGTACGCTCCTCCATCAAAACTTGAACTGATTTGAAAATAATAAATTGACATTATAATCATGGACCGACTGGCAGCTAATCAAGTTTTGCGTTAGCGGGAATCACAATTGTCGACAATAACAGACAATGAATGTATAATTCTGTATCATAGTGGAAAATTGCTCCAATCATGACGAGGAAATGTAAAACGACAGAGAATATACTTGGTTCTTTTATATCATGTATCATGTGGTGCTACTCATTGCTGGGTAATGTATCAGAACACTCTGACAAAATTTATATGCGAGCCCGACTTAGCAACACACAAGCAAAATTTAGAGGCGCGTGCGACTCTGCATTGAGGCCGCCTAGGACTCGGGGAGCACGTAAATCAGCTTCTCTATGTCCGCTTCGCGGTTATGAGCAGTCTACGGGCAGCTTGCTAGCTCAGTATAACTCGGCTCGGCCAACCCTTGTCATACTCTCAGGCGGCTATAAAGCATGAAAGGTGACTCTGAACAGAAATTGGTTTCATAAGTATTGAAAGTGGCGAATTTAATTTTCTAAATGAGTAGTTTTATTTTTCATAGCATTAAATAGTTTGAAAATTCCGTATTTTTTCAGCAAACGCCGTCGATTGATAAGGAAATGCAATCCTAATTTGAAATTCTCATATAATTTTTTTAATAGTCAAGAAGACTCAGAATAACTTTGCGCCGAGTGTAGTGACTATTCCGCCGTAGACTAGGCGGTCCCCAATTTTGTTAGCTCGGGTATAGGTGCCGCCTATGACTTGGGAAGCACGGTGGTGCTTGAGAGCCGCGAGGTCCCGGAGAGGTTCCTAAGCAGTTCTTCACTAATTAGGGTGAACTTTACTCCACTCGTAAATGAGATGACGATCTGAAATTTTCCATACTTATCTAGGTATTTATTTACAATCCGTGTAAAGGAACAAAAAATATGTAAGCTTTGTATAACACCAGTTATGATAGATGATAATAAAAACAACAAGCAAGCAGTTGGTCGCCCACAGAATAATGAATGGCTTGAGTGACACGATTCATGCCATAGTGTGGGGGCGGGAGAGGGAAACTTCAGCGTTAGAAGGATTACAAAATAAAATGGACATCTCAGTGAAAAGATGCGGTTTTTTCGTAGACAAAGATTTTCCTTATTTAGGTGCATCCCCAGACGGTCTTGTGGATCATGACCACGTTGTTGAAATCAAATGCCCAAGCTCTGCACGTTATTTCAAGACAATAAAAGATGCTGTGATTGCTATAAAATGCAATCATTTGAAAGTCGTTGACGATCAAATAATAATGAACAGAAGGCATTCCTACTTCTTCCAAGTTCAAGGTCAGATGAAAGTTACCGGACGAAGTAAATGTTATTTCGTGACCTGGATACCAGAAGATATACATATAATTGTCGTTGAATATGAACCGATGTTTTGGCTCAAGCGAATGGAAGTGCAGCTTAAGAATTTTTACTTAAACAATATGTTACCTTGCATTATCAACGATGATGTTGAATATTGAATAGATATTGAATATTCGTTGTACGGGTCATTGTGTATTCAGTCGAGCGAGCCTCGACCATATGAGAACAAAGAGCCTAACAATTTTCACCTTCCCTCCCTCCCCCTCTCAAAAACCCCTACTGCGGTTTACCAACTTCCCTCTTCTGTCTCCATCTCCAAGGAGACGGACACTTCGCTCATGTTATGTAAGCGCCGGCGCTTATCGCTGTCTCTGTAAGTAAACTTTTAGTCTCTGTACAGTCTGAATTACTGTCTCTGTAGATTGATAAATCCTGATTAACAGTAAAAGTTAACATTTCGTCGCATTTCTGTAACCTTCCCTCGACGTACCTATATAAAGAGAAAATAATTAATAGTCTAGTGACAATATGTTTTTCGTTCAGAAATTTGTACTCTATGAATTAAATATCATCGAAATTATTTAGGTATTGAATGTGATGTATTTATATGATGAAGATGAGCATGTAACTGCGCGAAAACAGCCAGCCTATTTGGCTTGAAGTCTAAGCTCATATTACAGTTACGCGTCTGCCTAAGTCTATGAGTGTAGAGCAGCCAGACGCAGGCCTGCGCTCGCATGACATTCCGTTGACACCACACAGCCAGACGTAAGATACTATTAGTCACGGCAGCGTCCGCGATCACCCTCGCTTCGGAGTTCGGGCGGGTCTACATACCCCCCTCAAATCCACCGCTCATTGCGTGCTTCGGCCGAGCTTCAAGTTCAGCCTCTAAGCAGCTTGCAAGCTCGGTAAGACTGCATCAGCAAACCCTTGTCACACTTACAGGACACAATAAAGACGGAAAGAAGATTTTGACCAGAAGCTAAATTTGCTCGGGCGGCTAAGAACACCCAAAATAACTCCAATTGGAAAATTGTGACTCTTGGGCAGGATTTTAGGGGCTCCTGGGGCCATACTTTCAAAACTCGCTAAGTGAACGTAAATTCTTACGCTCTATTTGAAAGTATAGGCCCTGATTTTTGTTGGAATATGGGCTCTGAAGTGGCGATTTGACTTTTAATTTTGAAGACGCAAAGAATGGAGAGAGTTGTGAGCGTTATTGAATTTGAGCAATAAGAAAAAATGAGTGCAGATCGTAAAACCAAAGTATTGACCTGAATGAAGTATACATTACATGGCTGATTGAATAATAATTGTAGTCATACTACAAAAATTAAATAGAACGATTTGGCCATATAAAAATGTTAGGAGCTAATAATAAAATAATGTTAAAAGCCGGTATGTAACAATTTTCCCAAGCGGTCGTGAAAAATCGAGAATTTTAAACCATGCACATCTTAATTTTTCCGCAGTTTGAGGTTTTACACTTCCGACTATCTGGAGCTGAATTCAGGAAAGACATTATGGCTTTTCTAACTATGTTAGTGACGATACTAGTCACGGAATAAGTAGAAAAGAAACTGAGTAAAAGCTGTCACCAGCACCCTGACTCTCACCACAGTGGGACCTGGTGAGTTGCTGCCTGCAGTAAGTAGCTTACTCAAGACTGGATGACGAATAAATTGACTACAGCGGACAAAATCGGCTCCTTGACCCTTATCGTACCGCAAGGTTTTAGTGCATTATAATCTACCAAGTTTAGGTAAAGTTGAACTAATGCAATCTGACAAGAATAAAACGACTACATATTTTGATTGGGCTTGTATATAGTTCCCTAGGCGTTTTCAGTTTTTTTTCTTGTGCCAACAATGAACGGGACTATTTATGCAAACGATTTTGTGATTCGAAGTTGATGCAAAACCGAAAATGGTTTATTATCTTCTCAAACATTCTCAAATCTCATTGGCCTATACGTCACAAAAGCTAATAAAAAAGATCGGCAAACTTTCGGGAAAAAAGTTACATCAATGCCGACAAGGTAATAATCTTATGAAGCGTGTTTAACGCCGTAAAGATATCGTCAAATTTTGAGCTGGATCATTTGTCTTGCCAAACGAAAGACGG